TTGGCCGTGAAGCAGTGGAAATGTGTTTATTGGGGTGATGGAGCTCCATCAGATACCTTTGGGAAGAGCTGGAATGGTGTTATTCAACATCAGTATCTGACCTCACTACTGCTCCTGTAGCTGAATACACTCAAATCCTCACAGCAATGTTCCTACATCTATTGTAAAGGCTTTGCAAAAGAGTACAGGCTGTTACTGCACTACAGGAGTGTCAATCTCCCTATTAATACCCTTGATTTCAGAAGAAGCAAGGTAAGGTCTTTTTAAAGGCTATCTTGTTTATATTTTGTAGTGTTTGGTACACAATGCATAGTATTGTTATTGTTTAGTCAATTATTATTGTTTCAGCTTTTTAAAAAGTGCCATTTTTGACCATCTTATTGACCGAAATATCAGTGCATCTGTAGTTATAGCTCTTTAATTTGTTTTAATAACCATTTTTCATCATCATTTTTGTTCTCTCCACGTATTTCTTCGACTGTCCTTACTTTCTGCTTTCTGAAGAAAACATAGCTGTGGCTCTGTCTCTCGATGACTTTTCATCTCCTATTCATATCTCATTCATATTCTTAGTTTGAACTGAGCCCTATTGGTATCTATTTTTCACATCTCGCTCAGCAGAGGTGGAGAATCCTCCTACAGAGTATAGCTTCCTTGCAGTTTTTTCCCCTACAGCTCTCCATCTGCCTGCAGAATGATCCTGTGTGTGTGAGCTGCATTAGTGCCTGCTGTCTGCTCCTGTGGTCAGCCTATCTACATTACCATGTCTACCTCCTACACACACACGCAGTGGCTGCTATGGGCCAGTGCCTCAGGCAGTCTGAGAAGGCATTTATAAATTGAATTTCAGTTGATATTCACAAATACTGTAAGGGATATTGTACTGTAAATGCCATTAGTTACTGGAGTTAAAAAAAGTATTTTGCCAAATTGCTTGTTTTATTTCCACTTTTGTTCACAATTTAGTCATGGTCAATTTCCAGGTAGAACCAGTCTGAGGTCCATCAGTATGCCTTTGTAGGGATAGCCCTTTTGCACTGGGTAGAACTTCCAATTCTGGTGGAAATACATTACGCAGTAGTGGAATGACAGGGAATCTTTTAGTTCACAATAAAAGGATTTGAACCCACAATCTTGTGGTCATAGAGGAAATATACAGTTTCTAGAATTTGTTCAGTATTATTATCTCTGGCAGTATTATACTTGTATTGTTCTTTACATTGCAAAGAACCATCAGTATCCAACACAACCCCATCAAAGCCACCCCATCAGAACAACGCTGTCTTCAGCATGTCACTGGACGCAGGTGTCAGAGAGGGTCACATGGTGATGTGGCCATTGACAGCACTGTTGTCTACTCTTGTGCTCAGTGCTCCCTCCAGTGCATTTAATGCTGCTCACCCATTAATAAGAAGATTAAATAAAAGATCCCCTGAGCAACTTTTACAGAGTCAGACAAGCGGAAAGAAAGCTTTAGGCAGGGGGCATGTTACTAAGCAAAATGCATTCAGGCAGTTATAAACATCATACACAGCAAGCTGTTCTTTTTATGTTAATGGTGGACCATGTCTGTGCAGAGCATTTTAAAATGGTTTGTTTTGTTTGGGAAACCCCCAAAGGCGGCCTTATTAATTCTGCGCTTCATTTGTTTAGGTGAAGTTGACTGGCTAACTAGCGTTCCTTAGCGCATGCTGACCCTTTGCAAAGAAACTGAAATTGTGGCATAGTTCTGTAATGTTTATATGGAATGATTAAGATATGTTGTTTGACCACCAGGGAAATACCAACCATGTCTCGAATCACCAGTGCTGCTGGAATAATGTAAACTCCAGCATCACTGCTGTGTCTGGTCCACTTGTACCAGCGCAACACACACTAACACTCCACCACCATGTCAGTGTCACTGCAGTGCTGAGAATGATCCACCACCCAAATAATACCTGCTCTGTGGTGGTCCTGTGGGGGTCCTGAGCATTGACGAACAGGGAAAAAAAGGGCTAATAAAGTATGCAGAGCAACAGATGGACTACAGTCTGTGATTGTAGAACTACAAAGTGCAAGTATATAATAAGTGGAGCTGATTAAATGGACAATGAGTGTAGAAACAAGGAGATGTTTTTAATGTTATGGCTGATAGTACTGTGCAGAAGTCAGAAACCATTCAATTTCCAGTCAGAATGGCCATTTAGTACAAACAGTACTTAAAACTTCATTCATCATCATTCATTATTCCACTGTGAGAAGACAACAATATGAGTCTGAAAGGATGTATAACTACCAAGAAGCAAATTTCCTAGGAAAAATGAATAGACAAAGAAAAAAATTCACTAGAACACAAACTAGACGGAGACCAGACCTCAACATCATTGGACGTTTGGGATTACTCGAAACATGAGAAGCAGAAAATGCAACCAGCTTCTAAGATTAAACTTTGGAGGTGTGGAAAAATAATTCTTCCAATTTCTTTGAAAAACTAAAAGCAGCTCTTCCAGAAACAATGAAAGCTGTAATAAAAGTAAAGGGTGGACAAACTAAATGAAATAATAATGAATAATAATGAAAAATGATAGTATATTTAGTTGTTCAGGCTTCCTTGTGATTTTCTGTTAATGTTTTCTTCTTTTTTCCTGATGCTAAAATATGAATAACTTGTACTTAACAGTCATTTTGATTGGAAATTAAATAAATGAAAGGGTGGTCTCTGACTTCTGCACAGTACATACGTACATATTTGTACATGCATATGTAGTCAGATTAAATGATGAGAGAGGAAAACACTGCTTCATGACTTAAACTCGTTGGAGTATGACTTATCGAGTATCTGGCCCAAACTTCCCGTCACACAACATTTAATTACTGTATATCCTTGCTAGACCATCATGCAACACTTGTCTGTGTTGCTATGTCTGCATTTCTACTGTAGTATATTTAAGAGTGGATTTTGACAAAGCTTCAGAATGACCTTAAGCTCAGCTGCCAGCCCCATAGTCTCAGATCACAGCTAGCATTTTCATAATCCATCTGTCACCCAAACAACATACACAGATCAATAAATATGGCTCTCTTTCCACCCATCATTCTCTTTCTACCTCACAGAGAGCCCTACGGTTCTGTGCTTTAGAGCTCAGTGTTAGACCTCCAAATTACTTTTAGTCCTTGGTCTGTCCTGCATGTGTGATCAGAGTCTGGGCTAGTCTTGGCGTGGCTGAGATTGGCTCAGGTTTCTGTGATTAATTGAATGTGTTTGTTGTGTCGATGCCAACTCTGCAGATTTGTGCTTCAGTGTCGAGGAGCTGTTCACTACCTTCGTCCAGTTAAACCCTCCCTCCCTCTCTCCTCCTCTTTCTCTCTCTCTCTCTCTCTCTCTCTCTCTCTCTCTCTCTCTCTCTCTCTCTCTCACTCTCTCTGGGAAAGATGCCCTGTAAATGGATTTCTCACTATTCACTTAGTCATGGTGATGTCACGCCCTTGCATCATTCCTCTTCTGAAAGGAATTCCGAATTCGTGTGTCAGTCAATCTTTTTGAAAGCAAGTTTTTATAGTCTGATCTGATTGTTAGATCTGTGTTTAAACTATAACAGTGCATACTAAACCAGTGCTGTTCAAGGAACGATTCAGACCCTTAATGAACAGACTCCATTGTCATGGCTTGCTTACAGAAACGGCAGATTTTTGGTCGTGTATTTCCTGATTTATGGTCAGTGTTGGCCCATAGCGGTGTATTGATTGCGAATGAGAGCCTTGGGCTGTTCTTGGCTTTGTTCCCTGCTTGTCCACCAGACTGTGGAATGCAGAAATTACATTGGACTTGATTCATCATCTCCTTGCTTCTTTCTCTTCTTCTGTGGTTCTCCTGACTGTTTTGATCAGCTCTTATAGACTCCCTCACTTCCTCACCTTCTCTATGGCCTTGTCCTCAACTCAAAGTTTTCTTGCCTTTCTTTCAGATACTCTTGGCCAGCGAGTCCCCAATGACTCTTATGTGATCTCCCCACCAAGATATCTGAACATAACACACACACACACAGGCTGCTTGCTGGGGCGTAAAATGAAAAGGAGAGACAGGCTCAAGCATGAGACTGTTGTCAAACATGGCTTGCATGAAACATACCTGTGTTCCCTGGGTTCAGATATTAGTAACTTACTGGGTAACAGAAGGAAAGCATTGTTTAAATAATGGCATTTCTATGCTTATCTTAGTGTTCCCAAATTGAATATGCATTATACTTTCATAGTAAGGTGCTATCCTTTGGACACTAGAGTGGAACATCACATTATAGAGGTCCTAAAATCTGTTTGAATAACTTAATTTGCCAATGCAGTTTATAGAATTATTCCATGATTAATTGCTGTCAGACTTTAATGCTATAAGAAATATAATTGTGGAGCATTTTTGCATGTAGCTGGCCTCAATGGCAGGACATTTGGTTTGATTACATAAATGTGTGTTTGTGTGGAAGGGGCATTTGTTTTCCTTAATAACCATTGAATTACCCTCCCTGTGGATCAGAGACCTAATGTCCTTCGAGAGAACACTTAGCAGCTTAAATGTTTCCCCAGCTTCTTTCAGCTCCACTTTTAAAAGAAGCGCATTAATCTTTTTCCCCAGTGTTGAGGAGCAGAAACATGGCTTTCAAGTGATGCAGAGTATCAGTGCCATCTTGCTTTAATTAGTCTTAATGGATGAAAATGTCATTGTCTACCTGGCTGCTCCATTTGGAGGCCTTCTCTCTCAAGCTTTTTGCTCATTAAAGCAGAAAAATGTCTTTTTGTCATTTTCAGTGTCAGGCCGTAATGCTTTGTCTAGGATGGGCCCTGGTATTTAGTCCACAAAGGGCTCTTTTTTCAAAAAACAGTATATATGGTTGTGTTCAGAGTGTCTGACGTATTATATGATTGGGTTTACTAGACCCGGTGGCACTTGCTAGCTGTAGTGATGTGAGGGAACATGTAAAACTGTGCATATGGCTGTGTAACCTCAATGTCCTTTTTATCCACAGGCTCTGAGCCTTCTGGAGTACTGCCATGACCAGTCAAGGTGGCAGCAATGGGGACACACCCACTCCCCCGCCTTCCTCCTCTTTTTCCTCGTTACTCAGGCCGTCTGCAGGCCCAAAGCTGCAAGTGCAGCGCTCATTGTCCCGTGACACAATCACCATCCACTTCTCAGCTCAGGGCAAGGAGGGGGAAGAGGAGGATGAAGAGCTTTACGGACTGGCTGTCTCCTCCTCTGGTCTGGATGGAGATGATCAAGGAATAGTAACAGCAGTGGAAGCCAGCGAGGAGTTATTGTTCGAGGGGGCAGGAATGGGGACAGATTCAGGAGCGCTCCCTGTTTCTTCTGCCATGGTATCATCTCTTCCGGTCACCCACACCCTTAGTTCAGCCCTAGCCATCCAGCCACCATCCTCCAGCCTGCCCTCCTCCACCTCATCTGTCTGTAGCCCTGCCAGCTCATCTTGGCCTTCTGAGCACCAACGGCCCCAACCCCCTCCCCTCGCAACCTACTCCTCCTCTTCTACCTCCTCTCCAGCAAAGTCTTCGGCCATGCACTCAAAGCCATTCCTCAGTCTGGTCAAGTCTCTCTCCACTGAAGTGGAGCCTCGTGAAGGTAGTGTGTCAACACCTGCCCCTCAACCCATGCGCCACCGCCACCTGATGAAGACTTTGGTGAAGTCTTTGTCCACTGACACGGCCCGACCCGAACAAGAAATCCCAACCCATCGCCTGCCAGATTCCCGCCTCAACCTGCACCTGTTTAAGCCTTTCACCCAGCCTCGTGTCACCGCGCCTCTGGGCGGCGACTCCAAGACGGCACCATCTTCGCCTCTTACATCACCCGATGGACGTTCCTTTTTTAAAGTGCAGGAGGTGGAGGCTCGTATCGAGGACACCAAGCGGCGTCTTTCAGAGGTCATGTGTGAACCCTTGCAGTTACTCAGCAAGATCATCGGTGAGGAAGGAGGAAGTACCACCACCAGCACTTCCACAACTGGGTTGCCAGCAGGCACCCACCGACCCAAAAGCCTCTCCACCAGCACCACAGAGCTATCCAACCTGGCCACCCTCAATGGCCACTTGGAGAGCAACAATGAGTACTGCATCAAAGAGGAAGAGGATGTGGAGGGGGACAGTCCACTAGCTGGTGCTGACCCGTTGCCTTCCCTGCCCAGGTCACCCTCACTGGGCCTAGACCGTTGCTTCATGTCAGCCCTGGCCCGCCAAGAGGATGAGGAATTTTGCGAACTCTACAGTGAAGATTTCGAGCTGTGCACGGATACGGAGGCTGACGCAGAACCTGTCGACTCAGCCCTGCTCCAGCGGGGTAGCACAGCAGGCAGTGAGGAACCGACCGAGGGGGAGGAAGAAGGGGAGGAAGAGGAAGAAGATGAGCCTCTGAGCGTACCACATAATGGACTAATCTTGCTTATTTCCGTGGTGTACGGCTACTTTGTGCTGCCACTGCCCACATATATAGGTGGGGTGTTGCTGGGAGTAGCTGCTGGCTTCATGCTAGCGATATTGGTGCTGTGGCTCTCAGCCCCTCGCCGGCCCTCCTGGGGCCCTTGCTTCAGCCGCTGTAGGAGAGAGCGCTGGACTGTGGTCCCCCTGGACATCAAAGAGCCGGGCATCTACAAGGTAGGTCGTGTTGCTCTGTTTTGCTGCTCTCCTCTCTCCTGTGCTGCTCTTATCTGGTTTTGCCATTAGCATGTTAACAACCGGCTGCCTGACCTTAAAAAACACGCTGCAGGCAGTCCTGAGTCTACAGCTGTTGTGTTGTGGAATTTTACCCATCATGCACGATGTGTGCTTTTATTCTCCTCAGTTTTGCGAACACAGTGTTTTACCTGCAAGCAGAAAATAATAATGCAATTCATCATACGGATAAGGGACGCACCAGCACAGCAGAGTGACATCTAAGCCTGGGAATGCACATATGCTTTACCCAAGCTTTTAAATATACAGAAACTCAATTGATCACTGTTGTGGGTAGGACCCAGGCTATGGAAGATGCCACTGTTGGATGAGACCATTGGTGAAAATGCTTCTATTTTGCATTTCTTTGTAATTTAATACAAGTTTTTCCACATGATGTTTACATGAGTTTTAGCTTCTGATCAGTGGATCACATCCACCTGGGAGTCGTTTGAACACAAGTTCCAATAGAAGGAATAAGACTAAAAAATGGCTTTTTTTATTTACAAAGGCTTTAACATGGTCAGTTCCACAGATTTGCTTCAATTTGAGTAGTGACCTAGAAATAGTGCAGAATTTCAAAGATTTCTTTTTAATTGTTTAATTGTAAGTTTTCTTTGTTTTCATTTTTTATGATTCTAAAACATTCTGTTGATTATTTTTAGATGGTAATTAAAAACAATTTCAATGAAAACAGTTTCAATGTGGTCTCACTTTTGGACTCCACTGTAGTTTGATGAGAAATCAAACCTCACCCACTGTTGTGGCTTAAAGCGTGGCTGCGCACGCAGATGTGGCACTGCTGTCTTTGGTGCAGTAAATGTACGAGAAATATAAGTGTGCGTGTGTAGGTGTGTGACCTGTGAGCTTATGTAAGTATTTTGAACCTGTGTGTGGGCTGGAGTGCGGCCTGGAGTCAGCTGCATCCTAAAAGAGCGGGGAGCTGGGGAGAGAGTGAGGGCGAGAGAGTGAGAGAGAGAAAGGGAGGTGTCAGTGCTGCAGAAGGCTGTAGGTCATGCAGAGTTGCACGTCTGTTCTCCTCCTGCTCATCATTGTGTTATTGCTTCCCTCCATGCTACCTTTACACTCTTTTTCAAAATCAAACACTACATCTGTGAGAAGCAGATCATCACAGAAACCTAGTAATACACAATGATACCGGATTTATATCGGTATGAGCAGATATTTGCTGATATATTAAATTATAAGATACAAAAAACTCTCAGTGTTGGACAGATGTAGATTTGACTGATATTTCAAACCATTATTAAATAATATGTTTATTGTGCACATAAAGAACAGAAACGTTCAGTGATGCAGGTGTACTGTGCTAAGATGTTTGCATTTTATTCATATTTATTCATTTTATTCATAGCCATCTACAAATAAGTGTTTTATTTCTTTGTGATGCTAATCCAGGTACATCTAGTCCCAATTGCTACATTTTATAAATGTTTATGTATCAGCATTGACAGACTTTTCTACTGTAATACAGACATTATAAATTATATTGTCACCAAACTGTTTGAGTAAAAAGTTGAATATTTGAAATGTTTAATTTCTTAGCATCTGGTTTGTCCTCCTTGTGCCTTAATGATCATGTGCACTTGAGCTTGCAAGGATTCCACAAGTTTGTGCAAAAGCCTCTGATGAGTAGATCAAATCCACCTGAGAGTCAAATGAACATGAGCTTAAATGGAAGAGATAAGACTAAAAAAAGGACCTTTTTGTACAAAGGCCTTAACATGGTCAATGTAACAAATTTGCTTACATTTGAATAGAGACCTAGAAATAGTGCAGAATCTTGAACATGTGTTCTTCATTCTACTCCTTATGACTTTTCTTTGTTTAAAAAAATTCTAAAATTTTCTGTTGTTTATTTCTAGATTTAAATGAAACAATTCCTTTTGGACCTTTTGGACCCCACTGTATATACATGAAAAATATTGGATATCGGCACACAATACCATACCAAATTGGTGGATCCCTTTGACATAATGAACCAGTGATGGTATATGTCGCTCTTTTGCTGTTTTCAATGACTGATGCATGGCTGAGTGGTAACTAAGTCCCAGAGCTCTGGGTAGCCAGGGAGGTTTATATTCCTCTCATATGCTTCTGCAGTGATATTATGTCTAAACCTCTAGAGACAGTTAACAACTGTAAATTCACTGATACATAGTACGTTTCTGCCATTAAAATCATTATCAACAACAGCAGTTTAACCAGTTTTGATTCTGTTTACTTCCTCTGGTAATTATCCTAATTACTTTATACTGAATTGGAAATTTGGTTTTATATTATTTAACAGTTAAACGGATAACAGTCTCCCCACACAGTTATATACACATATAAACACAATCAGATCAGTCAGAGAGACTGAGAGAGAGCAGATTCGGGTCATGTTCTCTGGTGAACTAACAGAACAAACAGTCTCTGATGATGTAGTGTCATCTGCAGGATGAAATTGAGGGGTAAATGTATGCATATTTAAGTAAGCTCCACTCCAGACATGGCAACTTTAATGTTCACATTTCTTTGGACACAGAAACTAAACTCAAATCCCTCAAATGATGATCTGATTAACATTTTATTCTATTGAAATTTTGGTGAGTGATGCTCTGATGTCTTGGCTCATTTCTCATGTGAGGCTACATATGCTCCCACACCACCTGTGTGCATGTCTACATTTGAGCCTGGTTGGCCTATGCAGCATTAGTTATTTGCATTAGTTGCTGTGGTTAACTACTGTTCTGTCTTCTATGTTAATGCTTATATCTATCTATAAGTGTGTGTGAGGTGTGTTGTTTGAACTGAAAGAGAAATATCTGGCACTAAAATGGTAGGAGAGGGAAAAATATTCTTTAATGTATGTTAATGTATTGAGATTTTATTCCAAGTACTTTGGTACCATTTTTGTTGGTTCATTTATCATGAAATGTCACAGTGCGAAAGAAAACAATGACTCAGTCACTCACTCTTTTAGTCAGTCAGTCAGTCACTCAGTTACTCAGTTAGTCAGTCACAAACCAGATCCATATGGTTCTTCGCATCTAAAATGGAACCGCAAGGTTTTGATATGATGAAATAGAAAATCTTCATGATACTAAAAAGGGTTTATAAGTAATTCTTTGCAAAGGACTCTTGTGCTCTGTGTGCAGGGCTGGATGAACGAAATTCACAGCTATGATCCGGAGACGTATCATGCCACACTCACTCATTCAGTGTACGTGCGTCTGGAGGGCTCAGTGCTGCGCCTCTCCAAACCCAACCGCAACATTCCCCGTCGGGCCAGCTTTAACGAGCCCAAACCTGATGTCACCTACATCAGCCAGAAGATCTATGACCTGACCAACAGCAAGGTGGGACACAGATGACACCATGTGTACATTTGTTACAGGAATAGGTTGTGGCTATAAGTGTGACTAACAGTGATTTGAAAGTTTGTGTTGGCAGTTATTGTTAATTTGACTATTAGCCATATTGGCCTTCTTTTGTTTGGTTAAAGTATGAGTGAGATGTTTGCATTATAATGGTCATAATTGGGGTTTTGGTTAAGTTAGCAGTTTTTACCGTTGTCATTGTGGAAACTGGTAAATTGATTTCTTCTTGTTTTTGTAGCATCTTTTGTCTTCATTCTGAAAAGTACCATACTGCAAACATCTGTTTTGTGCTCTGAGGGATGTTTGGTTGCAAACAATGCAGTTTGAGCGTCAAAGAACGGTACCAGCTGCACCAGTATCCTCAGAAGTGCTGTTAGGCCTAATCTCAACTCTGTTCTTAAAAATATACTCCTGTGTTGTTCTTAAAGTATCTTAGTCATAATTTTAACAATAAAAAGAATTTTTAATTTTATCAGTAGAAATCTATGTTGAATAATAAATTGTTAAATATGTATACATTAATATATGTATGTATTATTGCTGTGCCCAGGAATCTATTAAAAGTGGTATAGGAGCATCCCAGAACTTCACTAACACTAGTAAAAATGCAGAGATTTGTGATAATACCCTTCTCTAAGAATACAGATAAGATACAGCACAACAACAACACAAATAAGCTCTCTTTGTAACATTAATAATCAGAAAACAAACTAGTGAGATTTTCGATTAATCACCCAATATATATTAGACCATTTAACCAAACAACAATTGTGTAATGTTGAAGAGTACTAAAGAGAGCACAGCGGAGCCGATTATAATAGACAGCCCACAGCTCAGCAACTTGGCTCAGCACACCACAGTAAAGGTTAGACTTTGTGTCACTCCAACACCAGCCGCTCGACTTCTCTCACTCAGAGTATTTATTCTCCAAACTTGCTCAGAACCTGTGGTGTGTAAAGCTGTTTTAGTCTGCTCACTAAACTAGGCTCTAGTATTAAGTACAACAGCATAGGTTCACTAAATTTATGTTATTTGACAGTTTGTTATGTAGATGTGGTCGTCTCCCCCATGGATAAGAAATATATGTAAAGTGCTTTTTACAAATACATTTGCAAATGTATGAAATGGCTAAAAAATATAATTTCCTTAATGTAGTTTAGTGTTTGAAATACAGTTTGGAATGAAAAATATGTATTGTGCGCTGAAAGATTCAAGCTTTTTGTGAAGTACAAAAATAAGCTGATACATAACGGCCCACAAATTGTTTTTCATGGAACAACTGAGAAATATATGAACAGTATGAACACATTTGATACAAATACCCACCTATATGATCATAATAACCTATTGAACAGGAGCTATCATTTTAAAAACATATTCTTCAGGGCATGGGGGTCTTTAATGTGAAAGTATGCAGAACCAATGAACTGTGATACTGGTCCCGCAGATCTACTTGGTGCCCCATAGCCTCGCCAGAAAACGTGTGTGGAACAAGAAATATCCCATCTGTATCGAGCTGGCCAAGCAAGATGACTTCATGTCCAAGGCTCAGGGAGACAGGACTGAAGCCGCGGAAGAGAAGCCTCCTGCTGTTGTGGAGAAGTCAGAGGGGGTAGGGGGTGGTGAGGAAAACAAGCGGTCATCTGCAGACCCAGTCCTGTACCTGTTTGGGAGAACAGGAAGGGAGAAGGAGGAGTGGTTCAGGAGGATGCTGCTGGCCTCCAGGCTCAAAGTTGAGATCAAGAAGCCTCCCAGCCTCCCTGCATGTAAGAGTGGAGACAGAATGGAAGTTCACTCACAACTCATGTTTAAATGGCTCTAAAACAGTTGTTTTCAGTCATGGTCTTGGAATACATCTGCTGGGTAAATTTTATTGTTCTCCCTAACACCCAGTTTAACTCAGATAGGGCTTGTTATTTCAAGCAGGGAAAACACTCAAATACACCAAGACATCATCTTAAATCTAGTCAATGTGTATAAAATTTCACAATATTAAATCATTGTAAGAATATTATGAGATTATTCAACCAATTTTTGGATGTCTGTTCCTTGTTTTAAGTAATTTTGTTTAGAGAAATTGTCTTATTCTGATGGCAGATAATTTTGCTTGAACAAGGAAAAGGGCCAAGGCACTGTTCTATCCAAAAGTGAAAATGTTGTATTTATTACATAGAAAATCTAAGTGTCTGACAAAATAACGAGCATTCAAGCCAATATTGCTTGTTTCAACACACAATACAGATCATTTTAAGGCCTAATACTTGAGGATATGATCTGTTTCTATGCAGATTCTCCACTGAAAGGAAAATGTAGTAGAGGACTAGGCTTCATCTCTTACCTGGAAACTGACCCATACTGACTAGATTTAAGATGCTTTTACTTAAGAAGAAATCTTTTTTTGCCATGCATGCCAGTTCCCCAGGACCAGGATTAAATACTGTTAAATACTCCAGAATGCTAAAATAAGCCTAAAACAAAATGAGGAGAGTGAAATGCTAATAATTTGCTGTTTTTGGAGTATTCTCTGTTACATACTAATGAATTATACTAGTTTACAGTTACACCTATACGCTTACCTACCATATGATCAAGTATTTGAATATTCTCTCTACCCACAGCCTTCCTCCCCTCCCATGGCCGCAGAAGCAGCCAATCAGGCGCTCTCTCACACAGTCGCAGTAGTAGCCGAGGCAGTCTGGACGACCTGCTCCAGTCTCAGTCTCGGCAGAAGGATGTTGGCATGGGGGCGAAACAGAAAGATCTGGACTACAATGTCTACATGGCCAAATACATCAGCCACTTCTCAGGAAGCCCAGCTGCCAGCCCTGTTCACAGTACAGACAGCAGCCCGAGAACTGTAAAGAAGGTATTGACTGCTACTAATCCACGTTTGACTTGATTTTAGGGTATTTGTGTCCAGTCTTGTCTGTAAATATCCTTTTTAGCTCTGAGCTTGCCTATAAATCATACAGCTTCATCTCTTATTTGTGATATCTGTCTAATAGTTTGAATAGATTGAAGGCCTTGGCCCAGAGCCCTCTTTGTTGACAAGACGGGGTATAGCTTATTTAAGACGTGAATGAGATGTGAGAGAATCTTGAAGACTCAATTACACTGGCACCGCTCCAGTAGAGACTACTCCAGGGAAGACATCTCTGTGATGTTCAAAGCCAAGGCCAAAACCTGAGAGCTTTCAGCATGTTTTACTCAGTTTGGGTTATGATACTGCAAATGCAGTTCATTTGGTTTGTTCCGCAAGCTTGTCATGGTCTTTTACAGTTTCCAGATGGTTTGAGTGCAGAGGCTGCGTCCGAGGCCTGGGTCAATGCCCTCTTGGGCCGCATTTTCTGGGACTTCCTCAGGGAGAAGTACTGGGCTGATGTAGTGTCCAAAAAGATCCAAATGAAGTTGAGCAAGATCCGGGTAGGCACTTTAGCCCTTCTTTGCTGACTTTTGCTCTGGGAATTTTGTTGCTCTGAGGCTAAAACTGTATCTTTTGACATTTTAGCTGCCATACTTCATGAACGAGTTGACGCTTACTGAGCTGGACATGGGCATGGCCATCCCCAAGATTCTTAGGTCCTCCAAACCTTCAGTGGACCATCAGGGTAACCCACTGTCCATTGGATTTGTATTTACAAACTGTTGTTACCACTCTTTGACTGTAGATTACCTCAGATCATGTCTTTGTTCATTATACACGTGATTATGATTATACTTATGTTTATTTCTTAACCCAGAATGATTGTTTTACCAGATACATCTTGTTTAATTGAAATTGTTAATATTAGTGCTAGCTCTTTGTAGTGATCTCTAGATTTAGATGTCCACTTTTCCATAGATGTGGCTGTCCACCCAGTTGCTATTGTTCTAGGCCTGCTGACTCTGAGAGGATCAATGGGCATGAGAGCATTGCTATTTAATATTACTATAGGTGGATATATACTATAATAATAATAATAATAATAATAATAATAATAATAGTAAATCCACTCTTTTGTTAACAATAATAGTAAGAGCTGTAGGAAATTTTTCAGACTCAGAAGTCCTGCTACTGCAGTATGGTTTGAGCTCTGGATTTCTCTCTGGTGTTATCAGTGTTCGCACTAAGTCATAATGAGACCATTGGGATTAACGTAAAATTTTCACTCCATGTTCTCTTGTCCCTTGAGTCTCAGTTTAAGTCGATAAAAGGATTTAATCTCTGCAGACAGTGCAATTATTGTGAGCTCTTAAAGGTATTTGGTTACCAAAGCTCTATTATTTTTTGGATTTAAAAACAAAGGGAGTAGATATTTGAGAATATCACATAATAATAATATTTTGCCATGTAGTCCAAACTGTAAAAAGTCCTCATGTCTCATATATGTAAAGTGTGCAAAAATCAGTGACCAACCCTGTTTAATGTGCCAATAATTAATTCATGGTTTAGGAGATGTTTCTGAGGAGATTAGATATGAGATAATCCACATGCATAGGCAATACTAAAGTCAAAATAAAAGAAGTGAAAAAACAGGAGTTTCCAAAACTGGAATTCAAAAATTATTAAAATATACAGTGAAAATTAGACCCCTAACAACCGTGCAAGACCTGGTAGACCACCAAAACTGCTTTTATTTTTGAGAGACTAGAGAAACTCCACTCTTGCTTCAAATTCAAAAAACAACAGGTGTTGCTGTCCATCCTCACACTGTGAGAAGACAACTCAACTCTATAGGTCTAAAAGAATATGTAGCTGTCAGGAAGCTGTTACTGAGAAAAAGAAAGAGACGAAACAAGAAAATGAAACATGATGAAACAGAAACTGGACATCTGAGATTTGGAGTAGGTTTATAGATTGATGAGTCTAAATTTGTAAATGGGTTAACTTGCATCGTGAGAAGGAGAAAATGCAACCATCTTCTAAGACTGAACTTTGGAGGTGTGGAAAAATTTCCCTGTAGATTTCTTTGAAAAACTGATAGCAAAGCAGCAAAAGAATGGAAGCTGTAATAAAGGCAGTGGCGAGGCAGTGGAGGTCTGTGCATTACATTGTTAAAAAAGTTGGTTCTTCAAGGGTTCTTTAGTAAAGGCAGTCGTTCTATGTAGAACCATGAACACTCAAAGAGCCATTTGTATGATTAAATGGTTCTTTGCATGGTGAAATGGTTCTTCAGGATGATGGAGAATGTGTTGTATGTGGTTCATATGGAACCTTTTGGAAAATATTCTATATAGCATCTAAATGGGTTCTTCTGTTGTTACTAGGGGTGCGGGAAAAAAATCGATTCTTAGATGCATCGCAATGCGGACGTAAACGATTCTGAATCGATTCACAAATGTCAAAAATCGATTTTCTAAATATTTAATTTATACCGTAATGTTGACGGAAGGCAAAAGGCGGAACCTGGAAGTGCGGAAGTGCAGCGCCCGGACAGTCTGTGAGGTGCACATGACAAAAACACACATGGATGATCGAGAAATCCGACTGGCTCTCTCTGCTTTAAAGTCAGGCTAGGTCAGGAGTCACAACACAAATGTTAAGAAGAGACGTTTTGTCCTTTCCAAAAATCAAACCACCTTGGCAGCTACAACATTTAATGTCCAGTATGTTTCAGTATGTGTTAATGTCCTGCTATAAGTTAGGTTAAAATATAAACGAAAACGCGGATTTACTTTGCTCTGCTTTAAGCTTTAGCTATAGCCACATTCCTTCCATCTCCACCAGAAAACTTTTCCTCTAAAGTAGATCGGTTTCTTGTAAAATGTCTAAAAGTTCGGCTGTTTTACGAGGCTAAAGTCGCTTCTTTAAGTCGCTCCAGCTTCTTGTTCGAATTCTGACTGAGGTGCCGAATGTAAATGCGGCACCATTTAAGGTGGAACGGGAAAACTCGAAAGAGAAGCGACTTCATCTTCGCAACTTTTTAGTGTTTGACAATCTCTCGTTGCAGATTTAGCTTGCAAGTAAACCAACAGCAGCGCTTATGAATGCGAATAACGCATCGTTGCTAGGTGACCTGCAGTCGGAGGACACCAGTTCTCAGTCGTTGCGAAACAGGGCTTTCGCGCTATGTTGCACACGACCCGAAGATATTTTACTGACACAGCGATCCCCCCACTCTCTACAACGAGACCAAAACCGAAGTTATAAAATCACTAAAGAAAACGGGTAGAATAGCTGTAACGTGCTGCGTGGACATCCATTACCACTGGATCTTATTTCACCGTAACTGCGCATTTTATCGCAGATGAGTGGCAGCAGCGTCTCATGTGCTCCAAGCAATAGCAGTGAATGAGAGCCTTCTAGTTCACTTGCCACATCACTTGCCTTTGATTTATTAATAAAAGATATTGGAAGTAAATGCATTATAGATCAGTACAAATACTTAGCTTTAAAAGTACCAAGTCCTGACACAGTAAGAAAATAGAAATCCTGTATAGAAAAAAAAGATGCATCAAGATGCATCGATAATCGTTTTATAATCGCATCGCAGCCCTCTGAATCATAATCGAATAGATTCGTGAGGTGCCTAGAGATTCCCACCCCTAATTGTTACGATTTCAAGCTTGTATATTTAATTAAATAGTTCTCTTAGTCCATTCATGCTGCCTTATGAAGTGTCAATAGGATGAAGGGTAGCTGGTGTTTTTAAGTGGTATGCAAATTTTAGCAGGAGTTACTAGGCTTTCTTGTGACATTGACAAAATGTAAGCTGGTATCTGATATAAACGTCACATGGCAGGTGATACCTGCTGTTACTGCCACGTGTGAAATGCAGTGCTGTGGTGAAACTGGTCTTTAGTTTTATCTGGCTACATTATAATAAGGCAGTTTCCTGCAGTGCGTTCTCCCCACCAGTAGGGCGAGCTCGGGAGTGCGGTTTGGCGGGCAGCCATGCTCCAGCTGGGCTGGTGAACTTCTCCGTTGACGTTCAGGAAGCTGCCCACAGAGCTCAAAGGATCTACAAGCCTCTGAGCCAATTGGAGCTGAGTGCGTCTTAGAGCTGACCTTTCGCAGGCTCGGCAGGGAGAGTGCATCGTGACAGTGAAGGCTTGAAGTCTTGCCTCAATTAGGACAGAGCCCCAGGGAGCAGCAGTGTGATGTGTCAATAGAGGAGCATCTACTTGAGGGCCAGCAGGAAGATATACTGGAGAAGAGAGCTGAGGTTGCAGCTCCAGAGGGAATGTATGAATGCCTAAGAATAGCCAGTCTCACATCTCTCATTCAGCCTTCCGGCTGTAGGCTTTTATTTCTACCTAATCCAAGTAGTTCACAATTCTGATCTCAAGAGTAAATGAAGCATTCACAGTCAAGATATAAGGTGTTTGGTAGGCTTTTTTCCCCACAAGCAGGGGATTTTTTTAAATATAAGCGAAGATACATTTACTGTCTGAAGTTTACTTTAGTTTTGCACTGAAACTATGAGGCTAATGGAGCTAACAAATAATGGAAGTGCATGCATGATCAATTAGCATCATGCAAACTGCATGCCTTAATCACACACTTGCCTCAAACCATGCTGAGTTTCACAGTCTCAGACACGACAGCGGAAACAAAACTGATATCTTTTACACACAAAGCTGGCCACAGCTATCACACTTCTCTGCAGCGTTTTTTATCTTTCAAACATGACAAAATGAGCCTTCCAGAGAAATATATATATATATATATGTGTGTGTGTGTGTATGTGTGTATATCTGTAGCATTATGGGGAAAAGATTTATGGGGAAAATACTATTTTCCAGTTACCTCAACCTGATGGTGTCAAAATATTATTTCAGTCAGGCTAAAAGGCCACATCTTTTTCTCCATCTTGTTTAGATTTCTTTAGATAGTCCAGTGTCTTTTTATAAGCAAACGTTTTACAAATAATAAAATAAGATCTATCCTTTATAGTACTCAAGTATCTGTTCCTGCTTGTATTAGGTTTTGGAATAAGAAATTTGGGAAGACGTTTTGATGTTTTAAAAAGTTTTTCTTTTCTCCAGTAAAACTCTGGAAGTCTCCCTTAACTGTTATCCAGTAAATTATAAATTAGCTAATTGAAACCCTGCTGTTATGTGAGATTGCACTTCTTGTCACAGGTATGATGAACTGCTGATAATCTCTCTTGGGATTGTATCTTGCATATTGCAAAGTTTTTTGCAATGACTTCTTAAATTTTCTCAGAAGGAAAGTAACTTGTGACTTTAATCTTACTGAGAAAATGTTTTTTTTCATGCATCCACTGCATATAAGGAGAACATTATGTAAATCTCAGTTTTTCACTTAATTATTTCTTTAAATGTTTGTTCAAATAGCTTTATGGAGTATAGAATCTGTGCAGTGCTGATATATAATTGACTATGACCCATTTGTGCTCTACAGTCAGATATTTGCCTGCTTTCATAGCCAGGTTGTAAATGTTGGCATGACTAGCATTGTTTCACGTTTCTAGTTCACCATGACAGTAACGTGATTCTTGGGGAACAATATAGAAACCAGGTTCAAAATTAATCAGATTGATGAAGTTTGAACCTGATGAAGACTAAGTGACTCTAAAATCATGTGGATATGTACATCAAGAATTACGTTACTGTCATGGTGAACTAGAAACGTGCATTAGATTTGTCTTAAAATGAAGAGCTTCCTATTCATTGGGTTCTTCATCACAGCAATCAAACAGGAAATTTGAATAGGATTCATTGATTGATTAACTCGTTGATTATTTTCCCTGCTTATATAGGTCTATGGTTTGACTTGGAGATCTCTTACAATGGTTCTTTCCTGATGACTCTGGAGACCAAGATGAACCTGGCCAGGCTTGGGAAGGAAGGAGAGGGCCTTGGAGAACAAGGAAAAGAGGGGTAAGGGCATGTCAGTGAGATGTGTGTTGCTAATTGCTAATGTCGCATCACAGTGTATTGCAATTATATTACAATACAAAATCAGTATAAACCTGTATATGGTGAAAACTAACCAAACATTGCAAAACATTAGTGATATGCCTCTAATTTTCCACTGCATGTTGGCCCGGTTTTAATCTGACGTGCTGATTATTATGGCTATTCTGTCAAACACTGACTGCCTTCAGAACTTGATGGCACTTCAGAAAACATGGAAAGAAAGGTTGTTTGGCCATGTGATACACTGTGTTAATAAACTAAATGTATTCGTCTGCGTTGTTCCCTTTTTGCTTCTAAGTTTTTTTCGCATGTATCTCTTTCTCTGTCTCCCTCTGTTGCTCTTTCTCTCTTCTATTCCCTGCTGTCTGTGGACTCAACTCTCTGTGGATCTGTTCTGTTATTGGTGAGTTCGAGCCTGGCACTCTGCCCATCTCCTGAAATCACAGTTTCATTAAAACCCTCCCAACACAGCTGAGTTTTATGGCTACTCACTACTGCGCTGCACCCGCATCAGAGGCCGTGCTACTGTGTAATTGCTGCACCTCTGAAAAGCTAAAACCCAAGTAGTGAAATCTGCAGTGCTCTGTGTGCATTAATAAAATAATACCTCCACTTCTGCTGCATAGTGTGGGCAGACTAGCTGCCTACTGAACAGAAGGTCCAGATGTGTGTACTAATTGCGCATATGTAACAAATGTATCTAGGGCTGCAAAAGGAAATGGCCAGAGGGCTAGATTTTTAAAAAGTTCAGCTTTGCAAGATTTATACTGAGCATGTGTTTGTGTGTGTGTGTGTGTGTGTGTGTGTGTGTGTGCTAGGCCCAGGCCACGCACATACTGCCTGGCTGACAGTGATGAGGAGTCGTCCAGTGCAGGATCATCTGATGAAGAAGATCCAGCAGAAGTACCTGAAGTGCCAGGAGTGGAGGGGTGAGTTTGAAGCACTTTTCAAGCTGGATTCATTTTCCCAGTTGAGGTCCTGTGATGGCATTTATAAAGAATTGTACTGGCTTATACACTCAAATATTTCATGAAATTACCATAGGTAGCCCTGATTAAAACCAGCCTCTGGCAGATAATGGCTAAAATGAAATATCACAATAATTTAATTAAGTGCCAGTGTTTTTCAAGTTCATCGTTCTTCTGTTCTCTTTCACATGCAACATCTAAACTATGGTTAGTTAAAAAATTAATACAACAGAAAAGTTGCACTTGAATATTGCAAGTGAATTTGGTTCACGATGATATCTCGATAATGCCAATGACAATAATCTTTTGTCCATATTTACATTGTCGTTCAAGCTTAATTGAGACATCAGCTTAATGGTGCATGGCTGTAAGAATTATCACGTTTGTTACGACATTAGCAAGAGGCCAGTTCGAACAAGATTGCTATTACTGGGGCTCCAGCTTTGGCAAATTTAGATTTTAAAATATCAAGTTTAAAAGTACTAAATCTCATTAGTGATAATTATACTTCATTTATAGTTCCTCTTTAAACCCTGCATGTACCTATTCGCCATAAATGGGTTTGGAAAAGCCTCATCAGAACTATCATACAACATGCCTCAGGGATCAGACAGCATATTCCTAACCATTTCATGTAACATTCTGAACTTTTAGAGGCCTTAGACTCTTTGGATGCCTAATATGACTGTTGTTTACACATTGATCATTGAATTCTGAAATATTGATGGAATTGTCCTTTAAGGCATTGGTTCCCAGTCCTTGTCCTGTAGTTTTCTAGCCCTGCACATTTAGTTGATTTCCTTGCCCTAACACACCCACCAACTCTGAAATGGCTTGTTAATCAGCTGACTAGTTGGATGAGATGTTTTAGATCAGGGTTAACACCAAAATATACAGGGGTGCTTCAGGACCAGGGTTCAGAACTGTTGGTCTGTAAGCCTCCCAGTTCCCTCCACTATCCATTTAATTTACATTTGTACCCACCCAGGGACAGCAACACACTGAAGCCCTACAAAATGCCCCAGGTGACCCTGACCGCCCACTCAAATGGTCATGTCATAGCTGCAGTTCATTGTGGGTGGCAGGAGAAAGAGCTAAATAAATAAGTGATGACCCTGACTCACAGTCTGCCCACTCCCCCTTACCCTGCAGCTACGTCGGGGGACACCGGCCAAGCAAGATCATGCGCTTCGTAGACAAGATTGCAAAGTCAAAGTACTTCCAGAAGGCCACCGAGACGGAGTTCATCAAGAAGAAGATGGAGGAGGTGTCTAATACCCCTCTGCTCCTTACTGTGGAAGTGCAAGAGTGTCGAGGCACCCTGGCCGTCAACATTCCTCCTCCCCCCACAGACAGAATATGGTATGTTCTGCATTAAGGCATAGTTTATTCATCTTCATGAATATTTGCCTTTTCAACAAATGAGGTCTCATCTGAAGCCTGTCTACATATTCTTTGGATGCCCTCTGCTGGTCATGTACAGTATATAAATCTCAGGCTGCTTATTCCAGACAGTAAAGTTCAATGGGTGTTTCACAAAGCAGGATTTCTCAATATGCTGGATAACTTAAACCAGTGGGGGGGCCTCAGGGCCTTCTAGGCTTTCAGAAAAGGCCTAGTGATTTCTGTGAAATAAAAACATGCGTGTCTGTAATTTTTAGTCCCTTTTTATTTCATGTGGTCATGATGCTTGTTGTGTTTACACTTTGCAAGCATTGCAAGTTTTGTTTGGAAACAAAAGGATTAAATTCTTGAAACACTCAAAAAAATTGTACAATCAGGATTTTTTCTCTGCAGTATCTAGGTAGATACGCACTACTTACATCACTGACTGTGAATACGAGTGGTAACTGACCATTGTGTTTGTCAGTTGTCAGAATTGGAAAACAGCAGCAGCTCTATGCTAGGGCTTTTTACTGAAGGCGTTACTGCAAAACTACTGTGCACATTGTAAAATATGTGATAATGTCTGGTACAAGTTTTAAATGTCCATGTTTAATCTAGAATGACCAAATAATATTTGTGAAAATTGCCGTTACCTTGGCACTAATATGCAGTTAGAATCCAATAGGGGCGCTAGCAGAAATGAGCTTCATTGTAGAGGTGTTGTTTTCCTCGTTTTGACATTCATGTACTAAACTGAAGGCCTTGCACTTATTGTCACCGTTTGCCACTAACTTAAGCCCAAAGTTAAGTCCAAGAATGAATAAGAATGTTCATTACCTCCCCTGCTAATGAACAGGCTTGACTTTAGGGTTATCTGTCTAACTGAGAAGTATTGCTTTGATATCCCCTAAAGTTCTGATCTGATAGAGACACAGAAACAATCATGCCTGCATTTTCTTTATATCATTTGTAGCGTATAACCTCATCACAACCCTTTTGGGAAATGATATTGTATCTGTTGTTGGACTGTTGTTGGTTTGTTCTTCAGGTATGGCTTCAGAAGGCCACCTCACCTGGAGCTGAAAGCCCGGCCTAAGCTTGGGGAGAGGGAGGTCACATTTGCACATGTGACAGACTGGATTGAGAAGAAATTGGATCAGGAGTTTCAGGTATAACCAGATTAATTTTCCGTTTCTAGCTACGGCTGAAAAGCATCTTATCAAGTTCACTGTTGAACTGTGTCAAAGATGTGAAGCTGGACTGGATTTTCAGGTGCACTCAGGATTATGTTCAGGTATGAAGGCAGAGTAATTGCCTTCAACGTTAAGTGTTTCTCAAAAAAGGTGTGCCTGCACACCAGTCCCTTAGATTCATCATTCTTATGTTTAATACCATGCAAATCTGTTTAGAATTACATGGTGTTCCCCATGGACTGTTTCCCAGTCCTTGTCCTAGAGTGCACGTAACTAATAAATAAAGTAGTAGTGTGTTGTTTTTCAAAAAAAAAAAAAAAACATCCCTTCTAAAAAAACTAAATTTATAACAATACTGTTTTGTTTGTCTAACACTTCTGAAGTAAAGTAACTTCCTATAGGCCTCCCTGGGGCTTAAAACTACATCCACTTTTGAGTTTAAAATGGTCTTATACAACTGCAAGCATACAACAGTTAAGTGGCATAATGTTGGGTTTTATGGGTGTATAACATGAGTGTTTTAATGTATGTACTGAAATTGTAGCATAAAATCATTCTTTACTTATCAGCTAGTGTTCCATGTTAGCTTCAGTTACTTGTGTTCTTACACCTGAGGGAGAGAAAAGTAGAAAGCAAAGACGTAAAGAAGCATATCACTGTACACAATACTCAAACAAGAAACATGGAAATAGTCCCAGGTAAGTACTAAGGTTCCCATCTATTGTGGTCTTTATCAGGTCTTACCATAAGGTAGAAATAATAGCACAGCTGTTATTGAATATGCTAACTACACTGGCAACATGGAGGATAAAAGCAATTTTGCTTTCTCATTCTATATCCAGTGGAAGCCTATTAAAGGTAATTTTTATACTGTATTTTATTTTAGGTGCAGACATTAAAATAATTTTTCAAACACTCTTGAGTATTCTGGGGAAATTAAATATCCACACACAGACTAAAGGGGCTACCTTTAAGCTGGATTTCCAAGCACAAATTAGATGCAGTCCAGGACTAAAATGCAATATCAATGTCTCCATTTTCTTGCATTTAATTCATTAATCTGTTTATCAAACCAGTCTTAGGAGTGGAATTAGATAATAAGTTGTCAGTCATTTATGTCAGCTCTGCCCACAAAACTCAAAGCTATGTGCTGTTGACTCGACAATATGATCAATGACAGCACAGTCATTCCCAGATACTAGTTTCAGGCAAATGTGGAACTCAACAGCAGTATCATTGCGCTTTGTCTATTTTTTTCCTCAAACGTGTAATGTTGGAAGTTTGTCTAATTTGTCAACAGTGCAGAGTTTTCCATTCTAAATTAAGACTGTATTCAGCAAAAAAGAACTGCTTTCTGTATATGCAGCAAAGGCATGTGGATAGCTATTAAATTAGAAGTATTTTTGTATTTAGTAGATAACACTTGGCCTCGTTCACCAACTGTTTTTAAGAAGAATTTTTTTCCTAAATCCCACTTATGCAATTTTTATGCAGACTCAGAATCTTAGGACCTTTCTTCAGAACAAATTTAAGAAAAAACTTGGGATGATATTGGTGAATGAGGCCCATTGTCTTCTAAGACAACTACTGGAGCAAAAACCCAAAGTAATGTTAGAAATGTAATAAACCAGCGTGAATGAACTTCTAAATGTAATACATCAGTGGCTGTCAGACAAATAATACAGCCAAATTTGCTCTGTTTGTGATGTTACACATCACTTTCACAGCTGCTCCTGACCAGATACTGTTAACACATTCATTCGTATATATTTTTTTGTATTTTGTCCAAGAAAATAGAATCATCCTTTGAATAAAGTGCTTCCGAATCTCAGTTGGTTAGGACGAAAATTGTCACTTAAAAAAGTGTCATTGCCTAATCTTGATTCTGTTCAACTTGCGTTACACATGTCAGTTTCTTGTCTGACGATCGCTTTGCTTCTGTTACCTGTCACAGAAAATATTTGTTATGCCAAACATGGACGACGTATGGCTACCCATCATGCACTCCGCCATGGACACTCGGTCCAGTGTGAACTTGGTTACTGTGACAGCCGATGCCTTGAAAGGTGTGGAGACTCTGGACCTTGAAGATGCTGTGGATGACCTGTGAAAGCTGCTCAAAGTGTCTCAAACAATGGGGAAACATGTTACCAGAGTCCAATCAAGGCACTTATCCTTACTTTTCCAAAGGTTAGATGCTAAGTTGGATGTAAGAATGAGTCTAAATGCATGTTAATAATGCATTGAACACAGAATTAAGCCTGAACAGATGGTTGAACTAAGTAAAAGTGCTGTTGAATAACACCTAATGCACAGAGCCAGTTTTGATGGTGTCTGAAATTCCTTGGGAAATTTAAGCATACAGCAGGGGAATAAAAGTACGAAGGACAGCTAGGACAGCAGCTGCACCAAACATCTGGACTGGAGACCTCTTGTTGGTATGTGAAGCTGTAAACTACTATCCTACTGAAGGTCTCGGGCGACGTGTTACTGCTTCAGTGCTTTTCTGACAAAGTCAGAAGCTTTTTACCTCTTTCATTTGCAAGTGAGGATGGATGGCCATCTTGCTCCTGCTCAGGTCAGGGCTCCACGCTGGCCACTGCGATATTCCAATGTCACCCGTTTCAACCATGCATTAACCGTCCCTCCTACTCTATGTTATCATTTACAGTTGTGGGAGTGTCTTCTGACTTTTGGTAGGATAGAATGTATACCTGCAGTCTTGCGAGTCTTAAATCAGTACCCTGTAACAGCATTCTTTCAATAATGTACACTATGATGGCAAGGGGGAAGCTTTACTTATTTGTGTATGCCATGATTGTCATCTGCTTTTTGCATTCAATGCACATGTGCTTTGTTGAACATATACACCAACAACATATAAGTACCTACCGCCACCAACCTCCGCCAATCACATTGCTGCCTGAGGCATCTATGTGGCATTTAATTATGCAATTAGATCAATTTCACTGTGCTCAAGGACACCAGCTAATACCCCATCCACCCCAAAAATGGCCCTACTCAAGCTGGCTAATATAGTGGGTACAAACAAGGCACTTTCCATAGACCTTGAGTGTCTTCTCTCAACCATTGCCTTTCTGCAGCTGGCTGGAAATGAAATGGCACTTCAAAGTGCTAATAACATAATTCTACACAGTACTCGCTCTGCCATGAACTTGTATGTCATTGTGCAATATGGAGAAGCCATCTGAATGTATAAGTCATTGCCTGATCATCTCAATCTGTGCTTTTTATTTCATTACTATCAGCAACTTGCTGACAATGTAATTTTATGAAGGTTCTGAAAATGCTTATGTTATGTCTTGATTTTGTGTCGATGATTGTGGAGTTGTTTTATCTGGAGAGTAGTTGTTTGGAATTGTTTTATTCCACAGGTCACTGAAAATGTACATTTGACACATGCTGATGAAGTAGAGGTTCCCTAATCAGTTTTTTTGTTCTAATTCACATCTCAAAACATCACCTGTCTCTGGTGCTTTGGATGCTGATACAGAACAAAAATGAGGATAAAAATTATCCACCAAATGGCTAAACTGAAGGCATGGTTTCCCAGACATGGATTAAGCCTAGTTGTGGGCTACTTTTCCTTTCAATGAAGAATCCCCATTCAAATTGCAGAATGTGTAGTTCAGGATTAGGCTTAATCCCTGTCTGGAAAACCAACCCAGTTGCATTTAAACAAGTTTTAATTATGCTCATTCAGTCATTTACACATCACATTGCTTTCAAACAAAGGCTGTACCAGCAATCATTTACAATTTACATTCCTTAATACTCTTCAGGATCTATATTTGACTTTGAAGTAGTCAACCTTACATTTCTGCTCATTCAAAAATGCTTACCACATGATTTTTGTGCCATTGTTTATTTGTGTGAACCCAGCCAATGTTAAATGATCTGTGTGCTTCTCTATGCCAACAGCGCATCATTTGATTTGCACTTTGTGAGAATTACAGCTGTTTTTAAGTGATTGTGTTCAGCCATACTGTGACATTGGTTGTGTGTGGGGATCTATAAAGAGATTTTGGTAAAATCCACTTTGTTTGTTAAGGGTACAGTTCTTTCAGCATCTCTTTAGTAAAACAACAGGTGTGGTTATATTTGGTAAAATAAATGTAGTCTGCTTTTAAAAGAGCAACTTGGGGGTGAAATACCAAGAGGCCCCAGTTATAACAAACATTTGATTTTGCACTGTAGCTTGGCCTCTGGAGCCATGAGGAGGGCTTCAAAGGTTCAAAGACAGTGCCACCAAACACCAAGTGGGGGGAAAAAAAAAAAATAAATCAGGAGACAAAATGTGTTTATATATTGGGTTTTATTTTACACACTGATCATGTAGTACCATGCAATCACTTATTCCTCAGTCTTCCCTTTCTTTAAGTCCATTCAACCCTGTAAGGAGGACAAAGAGAGTTAGTTACAATTAGACACGTGTGCTACTTAGGTTCAGATATATAAGCTCACAATTCGGTCTGATCAGTCACTGAAGCTGACCTCACTGTTAATCAGAAGTCTAACGCGTTTAATAACATCATATCAGACCAAGCCTGAACAGGACTGATCTCGGTGACTTACAAAGGTCAGGCCAGGCCAGCGATAGTTCACTTACATGAACTTCCTTATCGCTTATATTTTTTCCTGCAGGGAAGAGAGACAAACCTGTAAAACTGTTGTTCAATCAGAAAGTAATAGCAGTGGCAGTACAGTATAGTGTTAGTATAAAGTGAAAACAGTCCACTACCTCAAAACTAGCGCAGTGTTCCTCCGCCGTTGGGCCACGCTTCGTCCACGTGCCGTGGAGTCCTGCGCGTCAGGTCTTGAGATCCCGCATCCTAAACATGAAAGAAGAGCATATAATGAACAATCTCGAGTTCTCCAAACGATAATGTAATCAAACCAACGCCTAAAAGCCAATACACCACAAAACAACGAGCTCCAGTGCAATCAGCTAACGTTACTTACTCGTGGCAGAGCAGCGCGCGAGAGCGTCACGTCATTTCAACGGTAACTTATACCCTGAACCAACGTGCGGGTTTCCAAGCACAAGCGTAATGAAACAAATAAGTTTAGACAGGGAGACGCACTCATTTTGTCGAATACACCGAAAAGCAACCTCATACTTCACAGCGGAGGGTGAAAAGACTTGCGTACTTATTTTCCGGTCTAATCGGAAACTACGTCACGTTCAAAGCAGAGGCAGTCCTCGAACATCTTTGCGCATGCGCAAACAGCGCACTGTCGGGAAGGAGGCAGGACAAGCGAGTTTGATTCAATTTACTGAACCGATTCTGTCGAAGTGGCCGTTTCAATGAATCGAACGTCCGATTCACAAACCGGCTAAAACCACAAACTACCATATTACACATACTACACTAATGAATGAACTGCTATAGATGGTGTACTATTTTTGACATACTATGTAGCATGGTAGTATGCAGTTTTGGACACAGCCATGTGTTTTTTTATCACTTTAAATGCTAAATTGTGACTTTTTAAAAATTATTAAAACTCCCCAACTTACTACAGGCACGTACTACCTTTACGTTCTAGCCTCTTTTAGTGCAACCACTGGTCATCATCATCAGGGGCATTTTACAGTGTTCAAAATGATAAAGGCAGATTAGGAACACAATTTAGGATGAACATTCTCATTTTAAAATAGGTGATTCAGTGGCTGTTTGCCCAGGTAGGCCATCCCGGCTATTCAGGTGCGATTTGATAATGTGAGGTAGTTAACAGGCGGTATTTTGTCATTTCTGTTTGGTGCAAAACATCAGTGTTAGTTTTGATGACAAAAACTACAAAAATAAAGGCACTGTGTGGAAGAACCGAAATATCATGCCACATTTAAGACACAAAATTCATGTAAATAGCTACAAAAGTGTTTGATTTTAAACCCAATTTAACTTGGGTTTGTGAATCGGTTCGGCGGATGTATTTAAAAGATTCAGTTCAATTGAAAGACTCAGTACGAGTCGGACGTCGCTGCCGGAGAAATGGACTCCGTAGCTACAGAGCACACCTACTATCGGCATGGAAAGCACTGGACGCTGATACTGTTCAGCCCGTCTTTATAAAACCACGTTATACTGTCGCTAAACTCTTAGTAATATATGTGAACTCGGTTTTCCTCGTAGAAGATGAACTGGGGTGTGTGTAGCAGGGCCCTTGTGTGGTGCATTTGGACGGCGCTTTTCAGTAACCTGCTATTAACGGTAAGTACGCTAACGTTAGCGTTACAGATTAGCTGTGTAGCTAAACAGCTGTCGGAAAGCTGTACTGTCAAGAGTGTGAAATACTCGTCGACGGTTAACTTCGTTGGTCTTTCTGTGGACATTACAGCTCGGCTTTCTGAATATATTTCAGCATTCAGTAATTACAGCTCACCAACACGTTGACTATATAGCCACAGGTCTTTGAAATGAAAGCATTGGATGATGAGCTAGTGGCTAATTCAGCTAGCTAAGGTTAGTGTTATTAATCTAGTTTTAGGGATTAACTAAAAGCCCATACAAGTCACAGTGTTATTATTTGAGGTTTAAATGTTATATTATGTGCTGAATTAGTGTGCTGGTAAAATACAGATGGCATGGCTGGCAACTGCCTTGAAACTAGATCTATAATTAGCCACAGAAAACAACACTTCTATCACAGCTATCATAACGCTAGCACATGAGGAGCAGAAGTGTCTTGGCCAAACAATATCACACTCGTTACTTAAAGCTTGTATATCTGACCCATTGACTGTTTTTTTTTTTTCTCTTCGTTTTCGTAGTTGCTCAGAGCTCGTTAATACTCGCCCATCACTGATGCTGCGGTTAACTGGCTTTGGCAAAGCTGTCATTATTGCAGAAAACCTTGCGAAATTCTGACTAGTCCCGACAACAGTTGGCATGAATTTAACCGTTTTGATGTAACTTGTCAGATTTGAACATGCAGTGTTTTCAAGCAGCTCAGAAATATTTTTTTACGTTAGTGTCCATTCTTCTTAGATAATCCAACCCCTGAAATGTTGTAATTTACATCAGGGTTTGTCGTGTCAAGCATGCACATTATAAGGGAGATATACCATGGTCTACATATTACTGGCTTCTCACAGTCAAACTCTCTCTGTTACCACCAGCTGTTTAATTAGTGTGTCATGTTTATTTACCAGTATTTAAAGGCTGATTTTTCCAAATTTCTGGATAATTAAATGGTTAAGATGTAAAGATAGTGCACCATTCTAGAGAAGCTTAGAGTCATGATTGTTCACAGTGGTGGTGACAGAATCCAGACATCTGAAGAGTTGAATGCCTCTAAAAGCTCCCTCACAGAAGGTTATTGCATGAAGTGGTTACAAGTACACCGTCTGATGCCTGAGGCGTTGTTTTACGGTGGTTTTAAGAAGACTTTGTGCTAAGACATTTGTTTTAAAACCCATTCATGGTGGAGAGGTACATGCAGATCATTGTAAGGCAAGCTAGTTTTTCAGATTCATCACTATTTTACCATTAGCAACATTACACATTAAAACTCAAACACATGTAGGTTCACTGGTTGTTTAGGATAGTAAATAAATTGCCAAATTACAGTTGTAGACATCACGACCTTTTGTTCCTATCACCAGCACTGTAAAGTTGATAAGTTTCTCTACAATAAACCATTTCACATCAAACCACTCTAAATGACTCTGGATTACAGAGAAATTTGTGGACTTCCCCTATAAGTGTCTTTTGTATCATGTTTAATATCACTGCTGTCGGAACAAAATCTCATATCTTAATTTTTGTTGTTTATCAGTTTTTGACAATTTGAAAATGCATGTTGCACCTTACATTGGGCCTCATTTCTTAAATTTGTTCTTGAGAAAGGTCCTAAGAAAAAGCCTATGTCAGATTTATGATGTGCTCTTATACCGCAGAATTGTTCGAGTTTTAAGAACAAATTTCTTCTTACGAACAGATGGTGAATGAGGCCTATTGTGTGCAAATCTCATGATGAATGGACCAAAAGAATTGTTCCAAAATACTTGAAGAAAAGGTCTGGTTACATTGACTTACATTAAAAGTAAATTCTGCTTTTTTCTTCTCCTGTAAAGTTATAATTTTTGAGAGATGAGATTTTGTTCCGACAGCAGCGATATGTTTGTGATGCTGTTCAGATCCTCTTGTGGTCTGTGCTCGATCTATAAGCAGCATGTAATGGGGAAAAACGGCACTTTATAGTGACCCTGACTCTTTTTCCAAGTTCAGCTGAACATGCAGTGTGTCGCGTGGAACAAGTCAGTGCATGGCCATGCATATGAAGTGACTAACTAATGCCAAAGAGCATATGGCTGCTTTTTTTGTAAACAGTCGAGTATGTTGAGGTCTGTGTACCAAGCGTTATCACCGTCATCACAGGTTAACTTGTGTGAGCAGACAAAGCGTGTGACCCCTGAGCACTACTGCCACGTGAGACAGGCTGCTGACTTTATTGTCAGCATTAAACACATTATTTTGTCAATTGTGATTCTACAAATTCAAGATTGGTTAAGTTAGGGTGTGACCACTTCAGCTTTGAGTTTTGTGTGGGTTAATTGGTTTTTATGGCTGCGCAGTTTGCAGTCCTGCTTCCCCTTCAAAAACACATCCTGTTCAGTGTGATGTCTGTTCAGGTTCCAAGTCTCAGTGATTATCTTCAACTGCTGTATCAGTGCAAGCTTATATTTAGAAGATTGTGCTGCAGAGGTGTAGTGGTTAGCTCTGTTTAAGTGACATTGCATTTTATTTCGATAATAGTGTAATTAGTTTTGAAAGGTCAAAGCAGTTTGTGTCATCAATGACTTTACTCTGTTTGTGGTATTGATTACTGTTTCTCACAGATAACAAAATAACCTGGGTGTACATTAACCAATGAACTGAAACGTCAAACATCACAACACACTTTACCACTATCTAAAATAATGTTTTCCACTTCCCTTTTTCTGTAGTTGTCTTCGCAGCTGTAGAGAAGTTGCTCGCGGTCATGAAAGGTCTCAGGCCCCATCCACACGTATTCATTAGTCAGTCCAATATATACACACACATATATGAAGAAACTTTCTCTAGGACTGTGGACATTTAGAAACATTTTTTTCTGGAAGAATCAGACTTTAATTCCGTGTAAGACATTGAATTATGAAGGTTTGTCGGCCTGCGTTAACTCTAGCAAGCCTATTGCATCTGCAGCTTGTTGCTGTCACTTTTGTCAGAAAATCTCTGCTTTAGTTTAGCACTCTATATTTTGCACACATGCTTGCAATGTTTTCCTTGAGGCATTTTACATCAATCATGAGTGTCGTTATTGTGTTCTCATATAGACAGAGAGTTTTTCAAAAAGTATTGGTGTGGAAGATAACTGAAAACTACTTCTGAAATCAACCTTTTTTCCCCCTGCTTCTTTAAAAAATGTCCATATACGTGTTGACAAAGCCTCAGAGCCGCATTGCCGACCTAGAATCTGTTCCTGTCAGCAAGTCGTAGTAAAAGAGATTGATCTTAGATTGGTACTCCTACTCTAAGAAGCTTTATGAATAGGAAGACGCTGATAAGGAAACTGTCTGCCGATGTTTAATGTACATGTCTGCTAATTCCGATGCATGAATGTTTATTAAACATATCTGTTTTAATGTTATTGTTTGTGAATGCAGGACTGGGTCAGAGGACTGAAAAACACAGTACTTTTTCAGGATCAGTTGTACTTTTTATCTTACTGAGACTAAGGAGACTTTTACACCTACCTTGTTTGGTGCTACCTTTGGAAGTTTTTCTTTAGTTTGGTCTGTTTTGACAGGTGTGAACTTTTCACCCATGCTTGGGTGCACACTGAACAACTGAACTGTGGTCCACCAAATATTGCGGGTCGCATTGAACGAACGAACCCTGGTTCAGTTTGCTGGAAACACATTATTGTGGAGGGCATTCAACATCAGAACATGCTTTCTTCTTCTTCTAGCAGCACTTCAGCACTGCACTGTCCACAGAATTTGCCTGCTTTAACGTCTGACTCTTGATAAAAGCTCACATCTTTCTTGCAGCCCAAGCTGCTGCTAACAATAGACTAGCATTAAAATAATAGCCAAGCAATGCTTTTGTTTTTTGCCACTTGGATTACAAAACGTATTGCATGAGTTCGTTCAAACTGACAAACCAATCAAAGAAGCAGGTATAGACTGTGATAGACTTTATGCGTCTCTATTTTTATGCAAAGTATGCTTTTTTGGCTCATATAGTGGCAAATATGAGAATAACAGAGCACTTGTATCCCTGCTAAATTTCTGACCAATACAGAAGCACTTGCATATTATTTGGTGCTTTTTTTAGCCATTGCAAAGTAAAACCGACTGAACCAAATAAAGATACAATGTCTCAAAAACCCAAACTCTGGTGTAGACACAGATAAAGTAGGTGTTGAAGCAGCCTGAGATTTGTTTGGACCCGAGTTTGGCTGAACACTGTCTGAGCACTCTCTGGTTTCTCATGAGTACAGGCCCTGGAAATATTTTGACTTTTCTTAAAAATGGTGGGAGGGCCTGCTAATCACACAGTCCGTAAAGCCTCCAGCACCAGACCGTTGTGTTAAATTAGTGGGTGGACACACCATGCCGAGAAAGCCGTTCTTCTTACAATATAAGAGCACTGCCAAAAGAAACATTTTGCTTCATGCTGCTAGCTGTTGTGTACATTATTACGCAATGGGGTTATGCAATGTCTGACCCAGTCGATTGAAAAAGCATCACAGCCTGGATATCGGAGGAATGAGCCATTTTGGCTTCCTGCACTGACATCAGTCTGAGCTGGACTTAGACAGTTACACTCTTCTGAAGTCAGTGTGGTTAGCTAAAGCACCTGGCATGGTGGAAGTTGCAGGGTGTGCAGGTGTTGTGAATGTTTGTGTTCTTCAGAAACTGAGAACGTGCTTGACTCTTTCGCTAAAGAAGGAGGGCGAGTTGTGATCTCTCTGAAGTGTCTTCAGGTCCACGTGAGGCCACTAGAGTGGGAGAGCTTGCAGGTGTGTGATGTTTGCTCAGGTTTTACACTGTGCACTGCCAAATCAAGGGAGCGTAACAAAGGAAAAAGGCGCATATTTCTTCCTCTCTTCCTAGCTACACAAATAAGGACATGTGGAAATCAGTCATGGTGTCCTTCTAGATGAGCCTTGGTTAGCATTTTTAGATATCTCACAATTACTCAATTAAAATGACTAAAGTGTTTATAATTATCAAAGTATTAATTAATAAAATGAACCTTGATAAATCAGCAATGATTACTTGAAAAGTTGCGTGATTAAAAATACGTATTTTATTTCTCCTACTGCTCTACAGAATTGGACAGTAAAAACTGGGCATAGTTGATACATGTGCATTTTATCCTATGCCATATTTTTATATGTGATTTTATGTTTAGTATTTATATGTTTTAAGTCTTTAAAGGATCTTATTTTGATAAAGTATTTTAGAACCATTCAAAGTCTTTGCATGCTTTGATGTCGTCCTATTATGTCAGTTTTTGTTCGTAAGAAAACTGGTCAGAAAAATCATAAAAATAAACAGTAAATGCTTCAATCACTGATAATATTAAATTACATCCCTAATGTTTTTTTTGTGAACCTACCTGTTGGACTTGTTTGCTGACAGTGGGGACAAGTTGGGTGTGAAAGATGTTTGTAGTTCAACTGAATGTATGAGCTATTAATTGTTTCATGTTCTGTTGTACTTTTTGTTCTATGGTGAATGAGTTCAGTATGAATAAAGAGGAACCTGATGACTGAGCAGTGGTCACACTCTGAGCCAAGTGACCATTTTTTACAACTGTGAAAGAATGCAGCTACAATTTCAAGAACAGTCTTATAACCTGAAGGGGTTTTCATCTCAAAAGACCACAAACTCTCCTGTTTATTACGTTGAAGATCGTTTAAGTTTCAGTGGTCAGATGTTAAAACCTGGTAGTGCCTGCAGGTGGATATTAGGAAGAAGAGGCTGGGCAACAGGGAAAATTCTGCAATACTGCTGCCCCACCCTTCCGATTACTTTGTGTGCCAAAAACACAGGATGAAATAGGCATATCGGTCAACTGAGGGTGTTTTATATGTGTGCCAGAGGCTTGCTTTTTTTGCCCTGAGGAACCCGATTCTTAGACTACAGGGTATTCTTTCTTAAATTTCTTAGTATGTTTAATTCTTTACTTAACATTTTCTGATTTTATTGACCCTTTCTGTCTCTGCTTACATCTTTCATTCTTTACTTTTTACTTTACTTTAAATGTACCAAATTCTCTCTCATGTCTTTTCTACAGTCAAATCCAAGCCTCCCCATGCAGGCCAGTTCTTTTTCCTAGAGAGAGAACTTGGAATGATTGACATCCACATGGAACCAAGAGCTGCTCGGCCTACGCAGCACCTGGCCTGTGAAAGGCTATAAAATGTTGATTTTCAGCATTGCTTATCCAAAATATTAACATCTTCACCAGAACTATTACTGCACTGTTGCAGGCAGTATGTTCCTCCCAGCCTAATGCCTTCACTGTGCTATGGGTTTGGCCTTGGGCTAACAGCTTTGCATCACCCTCTCTGCCTAGACTGGGTGCTTGCAAGCTATTCCCTGTGTAGTTTCCTAAACCTTCCCTACTCATCAGGCTGATGACATCCATTAAAGACCTTTTCAACTGACCACTTTGGGAACTGCCTGCTAGTGGAAGTGGAAATGGCTGCTGTTAGTTAATGGAGGTTGAGAGCCTTTCATATGCACCACTGACCATTGTCTGTAACTGTCTTAGCATTGTGTAATCTTACAATTGCAATCAAAGGCCAGCTGGATGTCACTGTTAAGTTAAACTATTAATGGCATAAGAGCTGAGTAAATTAGATCTTTTATGCTTAGATGTTTTTCCTCAGTGCATTTTTCTTCCATTTCCACCATGTTACTGTGGTTAAATCTGTGATCTCATATTCTATTTCATTCGACGTCAGCGATAGCATTGATGTTCCACATATAATGATTGCAATTTCCGTTTACTCCTTCTCCATCTTGCAGGACTGCTGTAGCGCCAGCACCGTCTCCCTGCCCGAGAGTTTGCTGTTTGTGTCCACGCTGGATGGCAACCTCCATGCCGTCAATAAGCGGTCTGGCTCAATCAAGTGGACGCTGAAGGAAGGTACGTGTGACGAAATGATTAAATGTGGGACCGACTGCTTTTGGCTGGCCCTCTCTGTGTTCAGGTTACAGCAGTGGCTGTACAACAATGGCTTCGCAAAGGGAAAGTGCATGGAACACAGTGGCCAGCAGCTTTGAGACACTGAACGCAATTCTTTTGTTGTCCTCAGGTGAAAAACATTGACACCTAGCACATTGTCTGTAGTAGTGAGTTCAAGGCAATGTTTCATTTCCTGAAAAGGAGCTTCAGCTCCCAACCCCTCAGGATCATGACAAGTAGATGCAGCAGACAAGCCTAATAAACATGCTGAGGCTTGAAATATGATTGTATATCAAGTGTATGATCTGTTCGGTCAAAATGTCTTAGGTGAAGACTTTCACTATTTTAGCTGAGCAGCAATTTATAGGTTTTTTTTTTTATTATTGCAGCAGGTAATTTTCATAAAGTCCACCGCTACTTTGCCATCATAACATATGTTGAAGTGCAGACCATGCTTCTCTCACACATGCTCACTGGCAATCATTAACCATCTAGTAGGGCGCAAACAGCATGATGTTGTCAAGGCCAGGTGGTGGGCAAGAGGACGTTGCCTCCACTTGTTGTGCCCCCTTCCTGTATTGATTTCCCTCATGCATACACTCACTGTCCCTTTTTAACATGCATTAAAACCAGACCCTTGCCCAACAGCTCTGGTCAGCCCCTGCTAACCCTCATTCAGTATTCACATAACATGGAGCGGATTGCATTTCGGCTACTTGCCGCATGTTCTCTTCCTTTCTTCAGCAGTTATGGAGGAGTGTCTTGGAAACCAGATGCACTAGCTTAGCAGGTCCCACCGGATGGCTGAAGATTCTATAGGAGGTGTAATGCATATGCAGTGTACGCTCCAAGAGGTTGGAAGGAGTGTGTGATTTCAGCAGACCTTGAGGATTGACCTTGTGTGGTCGAGTTATTGTTGGCCAGCTGTTTGTGTGGTAGTAGCAGAGTTTCCCGCAAGTCTGAAGCAAACCTTCAGGGGAGGGGGGTCTTTTGTTATTTTGTGTACTTAACTGGGTATTCAAGTAATGCATCAAGAAAGTGAATGGTAAATGTTTTTTTTGTTTTTAGGTGTGAAGCACCTCATGTAAAGGTCATGGGGAAAAAAACTGAGAAAAAGAGTAATTCTTTGCATAAGTGACACTGTGTGCCTTTTTTATTCATAACCATGTAGAATATTTTATTCTTTGAATTTGTTAAAGATTTGACAAATTGGATATTGTTAGAAGTGGGGCAAAATGTATTCGGGTAGCCATTAAGATACTTCTCTCTGATACTGAATAATGGCATGTTTTCAGTGTGCCGTGTGCATTTCTCCTCTTTCTCTCTTTTGTTTTCCCCCCTTTCTCAGTGCAATGCAATGTATTGACTATCCAAGTTGTGGGTTTCAGTCTAAGTGAGTACAAGTTCACAGTAACCGGTGCAAATATTTACGTACTAGGTCTTGAAGATTTGTCAGTGTAAGCAGAAAATGAGAAGGTAGTTGTCAATGTTGCTCTCCTGAGTAACGCATTCAGTGCCTACTCTATCAGCCTTCGTCCTAGGTCATTTAGCTTTGTGTAACTGCTCATACATTTGCATGTCTGCACGATTGCACTATTGACGTGTAACTGAAAAGCATCTGTCTCTTTCCCTGTGCAGATCCTGTTCTTCAGGTCCCAACCCATGTGGCAGAGTAAGTAGCCTTATGCTGTATGAGTCTGTATGTGGTGCAGGGAACCTATGAAAACAGGAACTATGCAAGCTGCTGAGCTTGCATGACTCTTCCTGAGTGCAGTATCATAAAGTATGATCATTTTCCTCAGGCTTCTTCTACAAAAAAAAGTTCTGGTAACTTCTCATAATGGACTGCAGTTGACACATGAATGCTTCATGTTAGGAATGTACACGGGTGCTTGAGTGCCCGATTAACCGTTCAAGGTGCCCTATTTTGAATACTGAAGACATTATTCCAGTATTCATTGTGCTTTATCACAGGAACATGGAGAAAATATACAGACTAACAGTTCAGTGAAACATCAATTATTTGTTTTAACAGAACTGCACAGCCTGAAAACTTTGCTTGTATTTGCAAGTAAATATGTTATGTTATACTTTGCTACTTTGAAACATGGGCACCTTAACATGGGTCTTTAGATCACGTTAATGACATGACTGAGAAGGCAGAGAAATAGAGGTTAGCTAGAACCAAAGACAGTTAAAATACATTTCTCTGACAAACTAAGATGTTGGCACATCATTTCCAGGAAGAAATCTGCGAAAGTGTCTCCATTGACATCCATTGTTGTTAGCTTTAGCTCATTAGCTCATCTTAGGCAGTCTCCGTTATATTACTAGTCTGGCAAAAACTTAGTGATTTCCATCAGATGTTTTTGAGTAATTAAACACCTTTTAATTGTGTTTATCTGTATGAAGATACATTTTTGGGCTGTTACCTGAAAAGCTAGACCACAACTCTACATTAATTTCAGCCAAAACAAGTTTTTTCTTCTTTGTGGTTAACAGGGTGTCTGTTCATGAACACTTATGGTACTCAAATATAAAAACATAACATAAACATACATCAAACATCAAACATACTCAGAATGCACGTTCCCATACTTCGTATCTGTCTTATGTGCCTTCTCTTTTCAGGCCTGCATTTCTCCCGGACCCCAATGATGGCAGCCTGTACTCTCTGGGAGGGAAGAACAATGAGGGACTGACGGTGAGAGAGAAAATTCACAGAAAAATAGTACTTCCTTTTTCTGAAGAAAGCTCAAACCAATACTCTTACGAACTACACTGTAACTGTAGGGACTTTGTGGGGGGGGACTCTACCTTTGTAGTTTCTCTAGCTAGAATTAAAATGGTGTTCCCTCCTTGAGATTTGCGGTGGACAGCCACCGTTTTGCCCAAAAACAGGCTGGGCTTTAACAGATGGGGAAGCTGTTTTTGTTTAAAAGAACATGAATTTTGTAGTGGGTTGTTTGTGTGGCATAATAAATGACTGACGTAATTGCATGTTGTTGCAGAAACTACCCTTCACTATCCCCGAGTTGGTCCAGGCTTCTCCCTGTCGCAGTTCTGATGGCATCCTTTACATGGGTAAGGGCCTGAAACTTTTTCACTTCCTCAGTGGGATTTCAAAGGGGCTGAAAAAACAAATGTGCTTCTGTTCTAATATGCAGAATGGCTCTCTGATTCGTCATTTTATTTTCCCTTGCTGTAACATAATGATAACATTTTATTATTGCTGTGACATAATAAGAAACGAAAAGTCATTAATTTATGACACCCCTGACGCTGGCGTACGCAGGCTGCAATAGTGACCTAAATGACTTGCATCAGTTTGTATGAAATTAAACATGCAGTGAATAGGATTCTGCGGAATTGAAACCAAGAACTGCATAACCATCCCCAGAGCTACATAGTATGGTGTTGACAGGTGCTGCACTAGTAGATAGAAGTTTGCCTCATTGTATCATCTTGTTTTAGATTACTTGTTTGTTAAAAATCAGTTTTTGTTGAAATTGCTGTTCTTAAATTGGCACATCCCGTTGATTTCCACGGCATATGAAAAAATAACCACTGAAATGCTACTTTGCTGAGGAAAAATCGGAACAGCGTGGGAGAACAGCCAGAAAAGCTGTGAAAATAGAACACTACTCTCCATTATTCTCCACATCTGTGGTTCTTCACCACTTCACCCAACCAGTCAGAGCATTGGGAATGGACAGAAGTATAGTGCATGTTGACAGAAGCATTGCTGTAGTGGTGTTGGGTTTTTCCCCAAATGTCTGACCACAGCATTTGTGTTTACCTCTGTTTTACCATACACAGCTCCCACTCCGGTTCTCAACATTTCTCAAGACATAATTGGTTATACTGAGTAGTTAGAATGTGACACACCAAACCTACTTGCCATTTGTCACCTAAACTTCAGAGACCAGTGACCTTTCTTTTCTGTTGTTCCTTCCACTTCTACTGTTAGACAAACAGCCATTATGTGTAGTGGAGAGACACTAGAGCTTAGCCCCCTTGAAAAAAAATCTGTTCCTGATGGCCTCCACTCGGGTGGGCTGTGTTTTCTTCTTGCATAATTTCACATCTCAACACTCATTTAATTCCACTCTTTGTGCTTTATATGTACATTAGCGACGCCCACAATTGGGATATAGATTAAATAGTGATTTAATCAGCCACGTTATTTGCCAGGGAGGCAAATAACGATTTAATCCAATTACTTGTTGAGTGCTGATGAATGTGGATTATCCAAGGGTTAAATGTTTCTTAAGATGTGCTTTGCACCGCCTGCAGTTTGGATCTTACCGCTTCACTATGACAACCCCAGGAAGTCCCTAGTTTGAGTCATCAGTTTCAGGTTGATATAAACACATGGCATCCTGCCCTGTTCGTATCTGTTTACATTTGAGATCGAAGATTTCGCTACACTGAAAGTTGTCTTTTTGTTTTGTGGTTAACACGTGGAGACAGAATACGTCTAGTTCAAACCCAGCAAAGACAGTGGCAATCCCTGTGGTGGATGTTGTAAGGCTTGTATAAAGGAGAAGTCTGATGAAATAGAGCTGAAATTGTTGTCCACCATTCACAGACTTGGCTTTAAAACTTTATGCCGGATTTACCAAAGTGCTTGGCCCCTGCCAGACTTTTTTATTGGACGAAAAAGAGAATAGGAGCATGCCATTCGCTGAAATACGACATACAGCCAAATCCTGTAGAAAAGTACTTTTTGGTAACTCTGGCGTGCCATGATTCATGTCCTTATGTGTATGTTTTGATGTGTAAGTGTATTTGTCTGTGTCCTTCCAGGTAAGAAGCAGGATGTGTGGTATGTGGTAGATTTGCTGACAGGAGAGAAACAGCAGACTCTCACCTCCTCCTTTGCTGAGATGCTATGTCCATCTTCTTCTCTGCTGTACCTGGGCCGCACTGGTGAGTCTAGAGACGTATGGCTCCGATGTCTCAGACTAAGACTGCTGAGTTTATATCAGCCCCTTCATGGTGGGTATACCATGAAGGAGGATTTGATTTGCTGCAGTAACTGTGGTGGGGGAGTACCGTTATTTCATTATTTAGTTTGTTCTGGTAAACATTATCCTAAATGACAATGAAATGTTCTTAATTTATATTCTGGCAGAGTCATAATTACTACACCCAAGTATATCCTCCTTTAACATGTGTTTTAATAGGGCTCAGTTTTGATGTTAATAAATTTTTGTTGGCTGTGCTGTACCGAATCATGATGTGGCAGTTTCATTTGGTATTTTGTAGAGTACACCATCACCATGTATGACACCAAAAGCCGAGAACTGCGGTGGAACGCCACTTATTCTGACTATGCCTCCACGTTGCCAGATGATGACACCAAATACAGTGAGTTTGACTTCCTTATGTACAGCTCACCTTTGCTGGACTCTTAAATGATACAACTAGCAGGTTCCCCTTGAGATGATCGTGTTCTTCTGCTTCTTAAAATGACTTTTTGCAAGAAAAACCTTACCAGCCTTTTCCCTTCAAAGATACAGGCCACTCACATGATGCCTAGCTTGGATTAGATACAGACATTACATTGTAAGAAAAAGAAGTGAAACTAATGTTTGGTGTTTCACCTTTCCTGTTTTGCCACCAAGTAAAACCAGCAAGCGCTCCCCCTGCTGATGTTCGATAACATAAGCAGTCAACTTTCTATAGCGTTCTTTACAGTGCAAAAAGTAGTGTTTATACAAAAAAGATTATATAACAAACTGGTTAGTTTTTAAGAAACTATAAAACAATTCTTATACACTTCTGCAAAATATATGCAAATTATTCACCTATTATGAACTGTGAGGCTGGGTTCACACGATGAAACTTTCATGCAACTTTATTTGCTTGAAACCTTCATGAAACGAAATTGTACTTTGTAAGTTTGATAATGTAAAGCGATCCACAACTCATTTGAAACTCCGCTGCACTAGTTGCAGGCGTCTTAACTTTGTGAAATGAGCTTCTGGTTACGTTCCTGTAACCAGCTGAGTTAACTACACAGCTAACGCTAACAACTGTTTAAACGGCTACTTTTGCAGTGGTTTATTCTTCTTCATTAGACTGCTGTTAACGTGACCTACATTGCACATGACTCTAAAGTGAGAATGATGGGACACATCCAAAAATATACGTCATACTGCTGCCTTTAATTTGGTTCACTGTCTTCTCATTATATGAAAAGTAAGCCTTTTGAAACTTAAGACTGGTTACTGCCAATTATATACTCTTGGGTTTAAACCATATGGGGGAAAAACTGGTGCACCTTTCTTTTAAGTTGAGCCCACAGTTATCTTATTAATCCTAGATTGGAGCTTTAGTAAACCCCTCCCCCAGTCCAGATGTCCATAGTTGCACTAAACACTGATTCTTTTTCAGAGATGGCCCATTTTGTGTCGAATGGCGATGGCCTGGTGGTGACTGTGGACAGTGAAACAGGTGACATTCAGTGGGTGCAGAACTACAACTCACCTGTGGTGGCCATGTACATATGGCAACGTGAGGGTCTGCGCAAGGTGCCACACACTAACGTGGCTGTGGAAACACTGCGCTACCTCACGTTCACGTCCGGCGAAATGGGACGCATCACGCAGTGGAAGTACCCCTTCCCTCAAGAAAAGAAGCCCGAAGACAAGCTCATGTAAGCAGTCTGACAAACCAGAAACAACTTCTCCCTCTGAACATTCTTTTGATTAAGGCTTTTTGAAGGTAGATTCTTACTGAAGTGCCCTATTTTTTACCTTTGTCATTCTTTATTGATTTAAGAACATGTGACCTCACTCAGAAGCCTCAGTGTTCAATGCAGTGTCTGATAGCGATACCATTTCTGGCTCTAGGTAGTATGAAGGATAGGAATTCTATATAATCAGAATGTGAATTTGCTTTAAGGGTGCTGCTATACTCGGAATATTAACTCCTCCTGTTTCATGATGTTTATAAAGTGTACTTGTATTTTGTTGTGGAAGGAACTGAAGCTCAAACATGCTGCAGTTGGCAAGATCCACAAGCACATTCTGTTTGTGGGAGTTTTAACATGAAAGTCCAGCAAAGTTACGAAGTTTAAACTTTTTCTGGAAAGCTAATTGTAGCATATTTATAGTCAGATTCTTAAGGAGAAATAAGCAGGTCTTCTTTCATTCATCAGACTGACTTCCTGCAGGTCCACCCTTTATGTGGGCAAATATTCCACCAGCCTGTACGCCTCTCCCTCTCTGGTACACGATGGCGTTACTGTTGTGGTGAGTGAACCTCTGCTTGCATCATATGTCTTTATTGAGAAGGCATCTGGCCTGCCATATTGCTCTCTGGCCCCATGCCTGCACACAGTCAAAGTGACCATGCCCTGCCGGGTGTTTAGTTCAGTAGTTTGGCTCCACACCACATAAATCATGCTCAGCCTTCTGGCTGGAGAACACTCATAGGCGAGACAAAAATTTACTAAAGTCCAGCAAAATTAGTTTGTGAGTGTGGTTGATACGTGTAGCGTAATGTAGTATGTTACAGTTGCCAGCTGCTTGTCTTGTTCATAGTATGTGGTCTTTAAGTGACATTTATGCTGCCGTTCTGAGTGTACTGTCACATATTGGTTTAGTTGAACCAAGTGTTTTGTCCTTCTTTGTTCTTCTTTTTTTTTCGTGGGTGAACACAAGAACTTGGTATGTTAACATGCTTTTATTAAAGCTTAATCATTGTGTGTATGTGTGTCATCAGCCACGTGGTAGCACCTTCCCCATGCTTGAGGGCCCCAGTAGCCAGGAGGCAAGTGTGGAGGAGGACCAGGAGTGTGTGATCACTCCCAGTACCAGCGTCAAGTTCAGTGCGGCCCTAAAGGAGCGAAACCGCATCAATTACATGAGGAACTACCTCCTTCTTATAGGTACCTCAGCAGTTATCATTTCATAGCCACCCAGCCTAGAGACATCTGCTCCTGCACTTCTCTTAGTTTCCCATAGCCATGATGGCTAGGCGGCTAGGCTATATGTTTATATCACTTCATTTTGAATGCCATCTGTCAGACACTTACTGTGTGCATGTAATATGTGGTCATGCTGCCCCCTAGTGCATGAAGAGTTTTTTTTATTTTTAATCCTTGTTTGTAGTAATGTGACTGTGCATGACCATGCAAAAGTCAGAGACTACCCTTAATTTACTTAAATTCAGTGCAAAACAGCCACTAAATAAACACTCTGTGTGCCTCTGAAAAACCTCCGTTTAGAGGGCCATGTATCCCTAACACTTCGCCCTACCCCACTATCTCAACAAAAATTGGGACACCCTAACCCTAGACGTGAACATGCTAAACAGAGGCTAAGGGCTAAGTGGTAGGGGCAAGGGGTGAAATGGGACTGGGCCTTAATGTATTTGGGATTACTTGGATTGTATAGATATACGTTATGTGAATCAGTAAGCAGAAAACGGCAATGTTTAATGTCTTATCCAAGCTGGATTAGTTTTACGTGGGGAGGTGCTGTAATTTGAGTAATTACTGATGAGATCTGTGATTTTAATCCAGGATGAATCTGCAGGGTCCATAGTTTTTACGTAAAACAAAGTATAACAGTAAAGATTCAAAAGTGAATTACTTTCTGTAATTCGTCGAACTGGACCTCTCTCAGTAATAGTAATTGTGTTCAAATTGACATCACAGTAATATAATAACAAAACTGGATAATGGAAAACAGCACCTTCATTTGTTTTGTTTTTTATTTTTGTGAATTGAAAAAAAAGGATGAAGAAGCTGAAGAAAATGGAGCTTGATTTAATTCAGTTCCTTAATATTGAAGCGCCTGACAAGACTACTGAAATCCTCAATAGTTCGGTGCATATTTCTTCCCGTACACTGTGATTATGTAACATCATTTAAAATTTCCATTGATAATGGCAGTCACCCCACACTGAAATCAGATGTGAAGTCTTATCCCTCGTCCAGTGTCGCATGCTGTTTTTTTTTGTTGTTGTTTTTTTTTTTGTTGTTTTTTTTTGCCCCCTATATAACATTTTAGCTTTAGACATTTAGCTTTTGCTGTTAGTGTTATAAAGTGTGGCGCCTGTCACATAAAGCTGAGATAAATGTCCTCTCGACAATGTTTCAATCCAGGTTATTTAGGCTAATTTGAGGAAATTACACATCCTTTGTACCGTATGAATTGGCCTGTTAAATCATTACCGGACCTCCTCTGGTAAAACAAATCCAGCTCAAATAGTGCTTTAGACTGAACTTTGCAGCTTTTGCAATAGATTGCTGCAGACAGAAAGTAAGCGCCCTGAAAGAATAGAAACTGTAATACAGAAAAAATGTGGATACACTAAATACTGAAAAGAAAATTATTATTTTTAGTTAATGGCTTTTTTGACTGGAAATTAAATGAAGAGTAATCTTTAGGCTTTAAACAGTACTGTATTTTCACAGTTCATAATGTATACAGACACATAACTTTGATTTATGCATCAATTTTTAGGTTATAATTTGCTTGTGTCGCTTTATTGTATTAATAAGGCACAGCTGTGTAAAGGCGTTGCTTGCTGTTTTCCTAGGTCATCATGAGACTCCGCCTGAGGCTCATACGAAGATTCTGGAAAAATTTCCTGAAAGTATTCCCCGTCAACACAGCAATGTCATCCCTCCCACCACAGAGAAAACCGCTGAAGAGGTGAGGGCTGTGCATGTTTGTGTGCAAAAAAAATTTGTTGTTTTAACCTAAACCTGTTCATCATGTTTGTGACACGAAGCTAATGGAGTTATTTAGGGTTGTGTGTGGCCCCCTCCCTCTTTCTCTGCACCAAGGAAGCTTGATCATGCCACATTAATGTTGCCTAACATTCAAATTTAAGTCTTGTCAAAGTCTCAAATCAAGGCAGGGACGTCTCAATACAGGTCCCAAGTCAGTACAAACGAGTCGCAAAGTCAAGTCCCGAGTCCTAAGCTTCAAGTGGTAAACAAGTCCGCATTCTTTAGCAAATTTAGTACCATTTCAACGATGATGGTAACGGTATGTAGCTTATGAAAAACACATAAAAATAATACACTTATATGAACAAATAATAAATCAATATTTAAGTTTTGTTATTTATTAGCTTTCCAAATAAATTGTGGGATCCATGGTAAAAGGATAACCATGGCAGATACAGTGGTACACATAAAAAAGTACTGCAACTACACACGAAAAAATCTAAATGATTATCAAAGTACTGTTCAAATTAACATTAAAAAAATATTGTTGAGAAAAGTATCATTTTGAAGAAACCACACACGTCTGTGGGGGAGTGTCAAGTTAAATGCATGCTTGTCACCAACGCCACTGGCCTCCCTGCACACCAGAAACACAGCTGTTGAGAACTGAAGTGAACCTCAATCCAAATAGGTTTCCTACTACTAGCTAGCTAACATGCTACTGCTTTATTTGTGTATTTTTTGTCTTTTTGGTCCTTGTCCCAGCATACACATTGCACCCTGGCCCCCCAAAGAGAACAAGTTTGAGCATATATACTTTTGTTATATTCCAAAATAAAACTATGCAATAGTTGATATATCAATCATATCATTACTGTCATGATACCATGTATCTCCATTTGTTTTTTTGCCTAATTTGAAAACTCCACTTACCTTCTGCATCGAGTTAAAATGGTCCAGACTTGCTTGGAAAAAGTATTTTTACATAACTTCTATTACAAGTTAAGAACGTTTTTTTCCCTTCTCCTGTAAATCTGCCGTTTTGAAGATCTGAGGTTTTGTTCTGACAGAGACTAAATATATACACACACACACACATACACACACACACACATACATACATACATACATACATACATTCATAGATGTCATCTTTGACCTTGACAAAGTACTTGTCTTGGATGAGCTTGTATCTTTGACCATAAAGTAATTATTTTTTTTTTTTTTTATCTTTGTTCCCCTTCCAGAAAGTGAATGACAGTGAGATGGAGGACAGCAGCACCCTGCCCCCTTCTGTCAGCTCCCTCCAGGAGAAGCCCAGCCGCCTGCCCCGCACAGAGGCCCCAGTGGACAGCATGCTCAAAGACATGGCCACAATCATCTTCAGCACGTTCCTTCTGGCTGGATGGGTAGCTTTTATCATCACCTACCCCAAGGTAAACAGCTTCTTGTGTAGTTTGGTGGAAGCTAGCAAATATTTGCCTTCCAATTTATTTGAAACACTTGACTTTGAGGAAGGTGTTTTTTTGCTAGGAGTCTTCTAAAAAGTTACTTTTTAGACATGTAGACATACACTGTATGGACAAAAGTATTGCTAGACCTACACATTACACCTACAGAAGTTTTGATATCCCATTCTAAATTCATAGGCATTAATATGGAGTGTGACCCCCCTTTGCTATTAACAGCTTCCATTGTTCTGAGAAGGCTTTCTACAAGATTTTGGAGTACATCTGTGGGAACTTTTTGCAGATTCAAGAACATTTGTAGGGCAACCCCTAAAAAAACAACTACATAGCATTTATCCCTCCTCCACCAAACTTGACAGTTGGCACAATGCAGTCAGGCAGACAGTATTCTCTTGGCATTCGCCAAGGTAGCCACGAGGTAGAGAAATGTGATTCATCACTCCATGGAATACATTTCCACTGCTCCAGAGTCCAGTAGCGGCAGGCTTTACACCATCCGACGCCTGGCATTGTGCTTGGTGATGTGAGGCTTACATATAGCTGTTCAGCCATGGAAACCCATACCATGTAGCTCCCGGCGCACAGGTTTTGTGCTGAAGTTAATGCCAGAGGAGGTTTGAAACTCTGCAGTGATTGATTCAGCAGAGCGTTTTATGCAGTTCATACGGCATATGTGCCTCAGCATTCGGCGACCCCACTCTGTAACTTTACGTGGTCTGCCACTTTGTGGCTGAGTTGCTGTGGTTCCTAAACGCTTCCACTTTGCAGTAATACCACTCACAGTTAATAGTGGAATATTTTGGAGGGAAGAAATTTTGGGACTGAATGAAACATCTGAATTCAATGATTAAGAGGTGTGTCCCAATACTTTTGTCCATAATAGCGTATGAAATCCTGATTTTTGTGTCGCTGTACCTACTTTTCTCAGATTACTTTGGAAAAAAATTTTGTCAGATTTTTACAACTACTCTACAGCATTCTCAAGGTGGAGATTTTATATTGGGCCCAGGTCCAGTAAAGTGAAGTAAAATGTCCCAAAATGCATGAAAAATTATTAGTGAAATTGGGTAGTCTGGTTATGAAGTCGAATCGGCTGAAGGAAAAATTAAAGAAAAGGTTGAAGGAAAAAAAGACCATTTATGATCTAGGATCACTTATCAATGTGTAATTGCAATCCCAAACAGTACAGCGTAGGATATTCTCCTGTGCACCACAAAAACAAATGTGGTGCAAATGTAATATAAATATGTAAATTTTTTTTTTTTTTTTGAGTTGCTAGTTTATGCAGCATGATGACTTGATTTGTACAAACTTCCAATTTGGTGACTGTCTATAGCTTGTGCATATGTTGCATTGTAGTGATTTAAGAAGTAAGGATTTAATCAAATCGATTAGTGTCTGAAATGGAAACTGGTCCCAGATTAGAGTCTTATTGTTGTGGTTCCTTGGTCTATGCATAGAGTGTGCAAAAGCAGCAGCAGCTGCAGCACCAGCAATTCCAGCGGCAAATGGAGGAAAAGCTGGAGCTCCTGCAGAGGCAGCAGCTGCTTTTCCAGCCACCTACAGATCTGCTGCCTGACGCCGACTTCCTGGAGGCGGCTCACACTCGCACCGAGAGCTCAAACCACAGCACCCCTAACGGAACACCACGTGCCTCCAACCATTCCAACCTCTCTATGTCTGAGCTGGGGAGCTCTGCCACCGAACATGAGGAGGGAGGTGAGGACATCCCTGCCCTAATTTAATCCAAACACTTGCTGTTGTTGTTTCAAATGAGATTTGATATATCTGTTTATGTTCCTCTTTTCTCTGATTTATCTGATTTGTTTTGCCTTTTTTAGAGGATGAATCTAGCATTGTTCGAATTGGAAACATCACTTTCAACCCCAGGAATGTTCTTGGACATGGTGCTGAAGGAACTATTGTGTACAGGTAAAAAAGGAAATATGTGGTCAGACTGTGTAATTGTTTAATTTCTCTTCTCAGCCATTTTACCCTAGACTAGCCTTTTTTGATTAAATCTACACTGCTCTCTCTGCCAGGGGTCAGTTTGACAACCGGCCAGTGGCCGTGAAGAGAATTCTTCCGGAATGTTTCAGTTTTGCAGACCGGGAGGTGCAGCTATTACGCGAATCGGACGAACACCCCAATGTCATCCGCTACTTTTGTACAGAACGTGACCGCCAGTTCCAGTACATTGCCATTGAGTTGTGCAGTGCTACTCTGCAGGAGGTATAGTATACACTGTGTAACTAACTGATAAGGAAAGCCATACTGTGTACACAAATTTGTCAGTTTTTTACATACATCTACGTTCTGCATAACAATTTATTGGCCATTTTATTAGCACAAATACCATATGGACGAAGAACAGTTCTTCTGCTACTGCTCAGCTTCCCTGTGTTTTGAGTGTCTGGTGGTGGCATGTTAATGCTGGTATGACTGTATATGCTGTGCCATTCGGTGTCGAAATGATTTATTTTATTTTTTTTTGGGGGGTGCCGACTCCCAGCACTGTTCTCTGTGTGCCATAGCATATCACTCAGCATTGTGCTATTACTATGTTAAATTAAAGCCATATCGAGGCCACAAAAGCCATAGTAGACATGGCTTGAAATTCACACCGAGAAAGGTAGTGTTACTTATTTTAGATAAACAGACAAATACTAATGGTAAGTTACCTCAGCTATGTTAGTAGCATAGTCCTTTTTTTTGTTTTGTTTTGTTTGGTTTTTTTTGTTGTTTTTTTTAACCTTGTATCTTTCTACCTGAAAACATTAATTGATGAAGTGGTAGTAAGCTCATACCAATCCAGTACAAGTTGAATGTAAAAATGAACTTGAGCTTTATTTATTGGCTCTCTCACTATGATTGATTCCATGTGGTACAGCTGAGCTTTTTACTGTATCTGCTCACAATTATGTTTGCTACATGTCACAGTGTGGCAACAACTTATGTGGTATGTTATGGCCTTAAGTGTACATGGTGTTAAAAATTCCCAGCAGCTCCCGAGTGGCGCAACCGTCTAAGCGTTGACCCTATCATCAGGAGATCGCGAGTTCGATCCCTGGTGATGCTACAGCCATCCGTAGCCGGGAGTCCAAGAGAGCACAATTGGCCTCGCTCTCTCTGGGTGGGTGGGATGGCCCCTCCTTCTCCCCCCATCACTCAGCGCGATGCTAGTTAGCGCAGGCGTCTGTTAGCTGACGTAACAGATCTGGCGGTTGGCGCTTTCCTCCGAGCGCGTTCGGCTGTCCAGTGACGTTGCGTGAGCGGCAGCTCAAAAAGACGCGGTGGTTGGCTTCACAGGTCTCGGAGGAAGCCTGTGTTAGCCTTCACCCTCCTAGCGTTGATAGCATCGTGTGATTGGGGGAGTCCTAACTAGCGGGCGGAATTGGAGATGACTAAACTGGGGAGAAAATAAAAAAAAAAAAAATAATAAAATTCCCAGCAACACTCCTGTGTGTGACACACTCATACCAGCGCAACACACACCAACATGCCACTACCTTGTTGATGTCACTGCAGCACTGAGAATGATTCATCACCCAAATAATATTTGATTTGGTAATGTGGCTGGGTATTGAAATTCAGTCATTTTGTCATACCAGCAAAATTACTTCAATACCACTTATCAGCAGCAGTGATACAATGACCTCTATTGAAGCAGATCATTAAATCGGTTAATGTTAAAAAAAAAAAAAGGCTTGTGAGCTGATGGCCGCATAGAACGTAGGTCTAAGCTGCAGTGGACCAGGTTTGTGTTTTACTGCTGATGTGCTGCTGCTTAAACGATTTGAATGTGTTTGTGCTGACCAGCGTAGGAGAGCAAAGCTCTTTTGTCTTTCAGACAAAAACCGAAAGTGCCACTTTGAACAATTTTTAGTGCATCCCTAATATTCATTGTGTTTAAAAGAAGGCATCAAAAATTGGCATCAAAGTCAAGGCTTTGCAGCCCTAGTAGGATTTTGTCTTATGGTAATCCCATTCCAACAATGGACAGTGTTGTGGGTGGCTGACAAATTGTGTAGCAACAGATGGACGTAAAGTCAGTAACTATATCTGCAAAGTGCCACTGTCTATTGTTTGTAGCTCATAAAATAGCCAAAAACCGATACAACAATCCAAACTGTGTATTCTAAGTAGGCTTATATTGAAGGTTATAAAGTGTGGACATGCTTCTTGTAGCTTAGTAGAGTTTCATTCTATGCTTTTGATTATCTCCGTTTTCTGGATCACATCTGTTCAAATTGTGGTAGAATTGAAGTCTGTATAATAGTTGATCTCCAGAAAAGATGTAAAGATGGTTTCACTCTGATTAAATCCTGTATCTCTGTTGTCAGTATGTGGAGCAGAAGGATTTTAATCGCCATGGTCTGGAACCAGTGATACTGCTGCAGCAAACCATGTCTGGACTGGCACATCTGCATTCTCTCAATATAGGTACGCACAATACAGAACATGGGCTGATTAATGGCCCAAATAAGTCGATGCACAGTTTAGTTTGTTCGGTAGGTCTGAGGCTCATAACTGTTTTTTTGTTAAAAAGTTCACAGAGACCTGAAGCCACACAACATCTTGGTGTCCATGCCGAATGCTCATGGGCGTGTGCGTGCCATGATTTCGGACTTTGGTCTGTGTAAGAAGCTGGCGGTGGGCAGACACAGCTTTAGCAGGAGGTCTGGAGTTCCAGGCACTGAGGGCTGGATTGCCCCTGAAGTGCTTAGTGAGGATGTTAAGCACAATCCTGTGAGTGCTCGGAATGTTGTTGTTGTTGTTGTTGTTGTTGTTGTTGTTGTTGTTGTTGTTGTTGTTCATTACTTTGCAGGTTATGTATATTTTCACATCACTGGAATGTCAGAGCAGTGCAGTACAGCCTTGCTAACACTTTGGAAAACATACCAGGCCTCTCTGGATTCTTTCAATGCTGTGTTAGATTTAAGAGCAAAGCTTGTGATGCTAGAGGCATTCCATTGTCCTGTGGACAATGTAATAAATATTGAAACGTTGATGACTCTTTGGTCTTTTCTTCATTACAGACCTGCAAGGTGGACATTTTCTCTGCTGGCTGTGTTTTCTACTATGTGGTGTCGCAGGGCAGTCACCCATTTGGAAAGTCCCTGCAGCGCCAAGCCAATATCCTCCTCGGTGCCTATTCATTGGCTCTCTTGCAGCCAGACAGGCACGGTATGGCTGTTACTTCCTCCTCAGTGCATGTGAACAAAAGAGATATTTTGAGACTTCAGGCTTGGCTCATATGACAAACTGTGACTTTTGAAATTCTGAACATGCAAAAGTTTCTTTGTATGCTTTTCTCAGTTACATGTAAACAGCGAATGTGATCATGTTGAGAGTTTCATTTGGTCTTTTGCAGATGACATTGTGGCCATGAACCTAATAGAGCAGATGCTGAGTATGGAGCCTGGGAAAAGGCCATCAGCAGAAAGAGTTCTCAAACACCCTTTCTTTTGGACTCTGGAAAAACAGCTACAGTTCTTTCAGGTATGAAACTGCCAAACCATTTCTGCCTATATTTAAAAATGTCCTCAAACCAGTTCAACTAATGGCATTAAAGAATGTGGAAAGAAGGTCACAGTGTCAAGGTGATTTAAAAAGGTCTTTCAGTGATGCTGCCAGCTCTGTCTCACCAAATAATTGCTCAAATGTAGCGATTAGTAGCTAAATTAATAGTGGACAATCCTGGATCATCTTTGCTATTTATATCATTTTATGGATTAAGGACAAGTAATCCTGTATCAGTGCTTTCAGTATGTCATGTGTGATGCCTGCTTTTCTTATAGGACGTGAGTGATAGGATAGAGAAGGAGCCGCTAGATGGACCAATTGTAAGGCAGTTGGAGAGGGGAGGACGGGCTGTGGTAAAAGGAGACTGGAGGGAACATATCACAGTGCCTCTGCAAACAGGTGAGGGCTAAAAATTAGATTGGGCAAGTTATTATCTGGTTATCAATATGTGAAGCTGTGGATTCTTTTTACAAACATATTAAACCCGTTTTCTATCAGTGTATATAAATTCCATTCTGATATGGGTTTGCCGTTGTATGGATGTACCTCCATGCTGGTGGTATTTGCAGACTACTTACGACACTCGCTCATCGTTTACAGATCTACGCAAATTTCGCTCATACAAAGGCGGGTCTGTTCGAGATCTTCTGCGTGCCATGAGAAACAAGGTAAGCTATGTAACAAGGTAACGATACCATGCAAGTTTGGAGCAACTGCGTTTGTGGACAGATTTAGGCCTGTGTCTGGGGGCGGCTAATGGAGTGATCGCTGTATCAGCCCCAGTGATGACAGAAATCATTTACAACCAGTTTAAAAACTTAACTCCTTCATTGATTCATTTTATGCAAACCATAGCAGGTGATCATAAGTGAACTTGTAAACATGTTGAGTGGGTTGGTCTCTTGCATTAACACCACATTTATTATACGTAGCATAGATGAGATTCTTCTTCAGACATCAAGCTGGATGAACAAGCTTGTGGGGGACGCTTTGAGGGGGGGTACTGTGTGCTGTTGCAGCAGGCAGATATCATGCCTATATAGAAAGGACGTCCCCAGACCACAGCATTACGTTTCAGACATCAGACAAAACAGCTTTGGATCTCAGGTGCTCTTTTATTTGACAAAGATTAAGCTTAAACTTGTACACTATTGCTGTTTGCTCCCACGTTCGCTTCAGTGGTGGGGACCATTGCAATATTACCAAAGGAAAATGTGTGTAAACGCTTGGTGGAAATAAAAATTTACATAAATATAAGTCCTGATATAACAGTTTGCCACAGTTGTTTTCTACACATTTACCTACATAAGAGGATTCTGTTAGTGGCAGAGGTCTGGACGGGGCAGATTATGTTCCTTTTGTTCTTTTGTGTTTTAGCCAATACCTACAAATGTAAGCAACTCTTGAAGGAAGTCTTTAAAAATGCTCATATGGGTAACAGTACATGGCTAGTTAGTATATCTTATTTCTGTCTCCACTAGCCTTCATTCTTTAGGATTTCAAGCAAATCTTCCTTTTCCCCTTACAGAAGCACCATTACAGGGAATTGCCCGAGGAGGTTCAGGAGACGCTGGGCTCAATTCCGGATGACTTTGTCTCTTACTTCACGTCCCGCTTTCCACATCTGCTGCTGCACACACACCTGGCCATGCGCATGTGTGCCCAGGAGCGCCCCTTCCTACCCTACTACCACAGCTCCGAGCTGCTCGTCCGGACTGTTCATGCACAGCCTGAGCCTAAGCTCCTAGAGCTGCAGGAGCCCACAAGCCAGCTGGATCTGTGTCCATCCACACAAACAGCACCTCCAGCAAGCCTGGAGCTTTCTCCACGATCAGATCATCCAGAGCTGTCTACACTTCCTGCAGAGCCATGCGTGTCACCAATGCCACTGAGACAAGAAGACATGGCTCTGTAGAATTTGCTTGACTGCAATGCCTTTGGGAGTCTTTTGCCATTATGAATGGACACATTCCAGGGTGGGCTTCTCTCTGAGGTGGCATGGTCTGGGCCTGCAGTGCCTGGGCCGTGTCTCTATAGGAGCTGCCATCTGTCTCAAGTGCCTTACTTAGTTTTGTAGACAAAACGGCTCTTTTCAGAGCCTAGTGGTTCCTGGTGAAGCTAGGCTAGAAGATGCCTAAATTTGATCCAATTATTTGGACCATGACGTTCTCATAAGAAGCTGATTTATTGTTTTATTTCTTTTTTCATTTTATAATGAACTCTTTTGTAAAGGCTGAGTACTGTGATGCTCTCACACGTATGAGGCAAGAACTAATTTTGTTGAACACTTGAAGTGGTCAAGTAATTCTACTGTGCAATGTTGGTGATACTCTGTTAAGTATATATTTTTGTACATATTTTGACCGGTGATAATCAGTCCGTGTGGCCAGTGTGCCTTTTTAAATCCCACTGTGCTCTGTCTTGGCTGTGAGGTCAGGGAGGTTATTTTTTCCGCCTGTCGCTACGCTGCTGTAGGCTCTCAGCCTCTGTCATATCCATAGGGGAATTTATGTTCTGGAGATATTGACGCAGTTCAGTTTTTATTCTCACAGCTCATTGCTGGGTGTTATTGCCTATTTACTTGTGCATCTTATTTGTAGGCGCACTATGTGATAAACCTGAACATGAAAACAGTATAAATACGGTTAACTTCTTTAGCTATGTTATTCATTTTAGCCATCACACAGTTGTTAAGACTGTTTAAACAGAAAAAGGATTCATTTAAAAAAGGAACAGTTATTTTAAACTTTGAGAGTACCGAGGCATGTTCAGGAAACAAATGATTGATCTTTCTATCTCCCCTACTGCGAACAGACACATTGGGCCAATTTAAAGCGTTTTATTAAATGAATGTGGTTCTAAAAGAAAGCGGAATTTCACAGAATTTTTCCAAATTTCTGCATATTGAGATGCAGGTGTAAACAAAGTCATTCAGAGCAGTTTGATATGAAATGGTTCACTGTAGAGAAACATGCTGACTCTTTGCAGTGGTGCTGATGGGGAACCAAGGATTGCAATGTCAACACCACAGAGATATAGTTTTTATATGTAATGATGATAACAGTAAAATAGAGGTAAATTGGGAACTATTTAATCTTTCAACAACCTGCATGTAACTATTAATATATTTTAAAAAAATACATTTTAGGGCAGAACCTCATCTTAAAGAGGCACGCAAAAAGGTATCAGACTTTGCATGTCTGGTTTTGATCATCACCACTATGAACAAATTTGACTTGAACGGAGCATTTCACGTCATACCACTCTGAATGAGTTCATTTAAATAGTAATGATTGAATTATACAGACATTTTCACCATTTTCAATGCATTAATAGGAAAAATAACCACATTAAATTGTTACTTTATTTGTAGTGTTTTTTCTGCGGTGCATTTGAAGCACACATGTTAATTTATTTAATTTTCTTATTTTTCCGTGGAGCAACGCGACTTGACCTTTTTTATTGGTACAAGCTGCTATTGTACAATGCCAAAATCCCAAATAAAGCATTACAGTCTCAGATCTCCATCTGAATCTGGACCCGTCAGCATCACTTGGGCTGCAGAAGTCTAACTTTCGTTTTCAGACAAATGAAAGCAGGAGGTGGGCTGAATTTCAGCAGCCTATCATGGGCCGCTCGGTACCAGTCTGAGAAGCTCTTGATGAGAGCAGTTTTGAGAGTTGTAGTCTTTCTACCTGAACAAAAGGAGGTGCAGCGTCTAGACAACTTTAATATTAACTTCAGTGGGAAACAGAGTGGATTCTCACCGTGTCGACTGTACTTGTTGCTTGAATTTGAGTGCGAAGACGATTCGCATAAAACAATAGACACGGCTGACAAACGCGCCCAGCGGCACATCCGGCAGTCTCGCTTCAGCAAACGGAGGAAGAAGAGCGCAGACACTCCGCACTGATAAATAATTCTCTGAGTTCGGAAGAAAAATGGCATGTAGAGGTTAGTGAATTTCCGCAGAGCTGCCTGAAGCACACTTTAGAGAAATTTGCATTGCGTATCCAGAAATTTGCTACAGGCTTAACTAACTTCCCCCTGTGAGTGCTTCAGATTGGTAATGTCGGTTTAGTCTGTGTTTGTGTCCTGTCGACTACAGTCTATCCACAGTCATTCGTTCCCCTGTATGTGCTTTTTCTCTTAGCATGTTGGGACATGTTTGACATGACGTCCGGCTTGTTTTTTTTCTGCTAGCCCTGCCGCCTCATGAGTAAACCTACAGTCTTCGCTCTCTGCGCTCTGGTGTTGATGAGGTGTTGTCCGTGTTTTGCATGGCTGATGTCAGACCCGACTGTGACTTGCACTGATTCCACTTTGCGTGTTAAGACAGTATTAATTACGTCGGCCATTTTTCTCTTCGTGGCCGGACCGTAAAATGCAGTTCCAGGGAGGGTTTGATGGCATTGAAACACTCGTACTTTACAGTAAACACAGCAGATGGATACAAACGTGCATTGCAAGTCTCTTTTTTTTCCGCGATTCTCGTGTTACTAAGCAACGGACAGACGAACCTTAGGTTAACTGACGACTCTGAGTCACGGAAACCGAAACTTATCAGACTTGATTCTCTGTAACTACCGCGCCTGGTTTCTCCGCCAAACAAAGCACTCAGGACCGCAGTGAAGTTGGTTTGTGGTTAGCGATTCAGACTTGTATCGGCTAAAACTCCGGAATGCAGTTAACATGCATCTGCCAACCCTGGTGTGTTTAGTTAGTCCTGATTTGTGAGTTGAGGTGACGTAATTTCCCCCCCAAACCCGCCAATATTACACATTAGGGTTTTTAGCCTTTTTTTTTTACTTTGGCAGATAATTTTTAATACAAATGATATTAAATCTATGAAAATGTGTTTGATTGAGCGGAGCTCGATTCGTGAAAAAAATCACAAAGGGAGCTCGGCATGTTTGATTGCTCCATACAGCTGTATCTCCTTAGGAATAACACTCTCACTATAGAGTTTAATTCCACATACAAACATTATCAGTAACCTTGCAAGTTTACTTGGTGTACATATTACTTGATTTGTGAAAATATTTACAAACAGATTTTGGGATATTTTATTATTTTATGCATGTCTACTTCCATTACCATGCATACAAAATTAGATATTTCTATCATTTACTCAAACATTGATACAGTAATATGCATGTAAGGAGATGACAACAGGCTAAAATTATTTGTTAGTCATTGATTAGAAAAGCTTTTGCCCAAAAAAGCTGAAAAATATGTGTTTTTAACCTTGGAACACTATTTGATATATATATATATATACTACCAATAATCCTGCAATGTTGATTATCACCTGATTTGTGAAAACTTTCACAAACACATTTGAGTGATTCATGCAGGTCTACTCCCATTTATTATCATGTGTAATAATACAGTGTAGTTCAGCCTTTTGGTTTCAAATATAGAATATTAATGCATAAAGCTTTAATAACTGATCAAGTATAGAGATAACAGCACACTCATGAACTTTTCTGATTTGTGAAATATTTCCTTTATTAATCAGTTTTGGCAAAAAAGCTGAATATTTGGAGAGATTGACTCTGAAATACAATAGCGGTGAAATGTCACTTACTACCTTATTAGCCATTACCTGATTTGTAAAGACTTTCACAAACACAGTTTGGTGATGGGTTGTTTTAAATACTGTTCCACTCCCATTTTCCTGTGTAGCAATACAGTAGTTCAGCTTTTGCGGGCAAATATAGAGCATTAATGCATACAACTTTAATAACTGATCAAGCATAAAGATAACAGTACACTCATATTAACTTTTCTGATTTGTGAAATAGTTCACAATTATATTTAGTCCTTTATTAATCAGTTTAGGCAACAAAAAGGTAAATATTTGGAGGGCTTGACTCTGAAATGCCATGTATACTAACAGTAGCAGTGATATTAGTTTTAGCCATTATCTGATTTGTGAAAACTTTCCCAAACACAGTTTGGTATATTTGAGTGTTTCATGCAGTTCTACTGTCATTTTCTCATGTAATAATACAGTAGTTGGGGGCACATATAGAGCATTAATGCATATAACTGTGAGCATTAATGCAAATAACTGATCTAGTATAAAGATAACAGTACACTCATATTACCTTTTCTGATTTGGGAAATATCATAAAATTATATTTATGTCTATTAGCCCTTTATTCATCAGTTTAGGCAATAAAAAGCTGAATATTTTGAGGGCTTGACTCTAAAACGTCCAGGCCTGCAACACGTTCCAAAAAAGTTTGGACGAGGGCAGTTTAGGGCTAGTATTGAGGTAAAATAGTTAAATAATGACGATATTTGAAACAGGTGATTGTAATCATAATTTGGTACAAAAGAAGCATCCAGGAGAGGCCTAGGTGATCAGAGGATTGCCAGTTTAATATTTAAAAACAGTGTTCCTTAAAAGATGGGAAGGGATTTGGATATTCCACCCTTTACAGTACATAATTTAATTAAAAGATTTAAGGAATCTCTGGGGAATTTCAGTGCATTAAGAACAGAGGGGTCAAGCCTAAGCTGAATAACTGTGCTCTCCAGTCCCTCAAACAGCACTGCATCAAGAACCATCATTCATCTATAAGCCATATAACTACATGGGCTCAGGATTACTTTGGCAAACCATTATCAAGCACTACAATTACTGTGCCCATAGAAAGCCTTTTGTTAACCATGTCCAGAAGTGCAGCCAACTTCTGTGGGCTCAAAGGCATCTGTGATAGACACATTGGAAATGTGTATCGTGGTCAGGCGAATCAGTATTTCAGGTCTTTTTTGGAAGAAATGGGGACACCCTGTGCTCCAGACCAGGACCATCCAGACTTTTACCACCACCAAGTCCAAAAGCCAGCGTCTGGGTTATCAGTGCCTATGGCAAAGGTAACTTACACATCTATGATGGCACCATTAAAGACAAGAAGTACATAGAGATCTTGGAGCAAAATATGCTGCATTCAAGTCAACAGTTTTTCCAGGAACACCCTTGCATATTTTAACAAGACAATGCAAAACCACATTCTGCATGCTACAAAGGCATGGCTGTGGAAGAAGAATGTGTGGGTGCTGGACTGGCCTGCCTGCAGTCCTAATCTGTCCACAAAGGAGAATGAGTTTAGAACGTAAATGCAACAACAAAGACCCTGTACTGATGCACGCCTTAAAACTTGTTTGCAGGAAGAATGGAACAAAATTACACCTGAAACACTTCATTCCTTGTTGTCTTCATTACTTGGAGTCCCTAAATGTCTTTTAAGTATTGTGAAAAAGAATCGCAAAATTATGAGCTGGTAAATGAATGGATATTATGTAATGTACCAGTGCAACACACACTTACATGCCACCACCACGTCAGTGTCACTGCTGTGCTAAGAATGATCCACCACCCAAATAATACCTGCTCTGTGGTGGTCCTGTGGGGGTCCTGAGCATTGAAGAACAGGGGCTTAAAATGATGCAGAGAAACAGATGCGCTACAGTCTGTAATTGTAGAACTACAAAGTGCTCCCTTATGGTAAACAGAGCTGATAAAATAGACAATGAGTGTAGATACAAGGTAACAACTAACAACACCTGCCCCTGCTCCTTTTCCTTTACCTTCCACCCTTCACCTTTGTCCCCTCCCCTTGCTCCCTCTTGACTCCAGTATCTCTCCTTAAACAGTGTCATACTATGAGTTCACTGGACTACTGACAGACAGATGACAAAACTGTGCTCAGAACTTGAAAATTTATTCTTCTAACTCTACTAAAATTTTCCTTGGTTGCTTGAATTAAATTTAAGGTTTTGCTGTATTTTTTCAGGGAAATCCATGACGTTGCATTACAGACCAGACAGGTGAGTCAGCATGGAATGGCCCTGTAAAAACTACTGGCTCAAAATGCTTGATGTGACAGCACATTTTTCTTTCATCCCTTTATCATCTCCTAGTAGCCCATTTTTATCAGTATCGTTTGCATTTTTTAGCAGTAGGAGTTGGATCTCTGCATGCCAGGTGACGGGTGGAAGTGGCTGCTCTTGTGGCAGCAGAAAACGGCCACATCGCGGCCACATTGCAGCCACTTTTATTAGCGACCGCCCCTGTACGGCCACTTCACAGCCACTTTTATTAGCGACCGTCACTTTACCGCCACTGCTCCCTCACTTTTGAATTTACATTTACATTTCAATTAAATTGCAGTCCATGCCAAAATACATTCCAACCACAAAAATGCATTTCAGAATATATTGTCATGTTAATAATATTAGTAAATATATTTAAAAATGCGCTTATGTTAAAATTTATGGGGAAATATTACACATAGAAATATACTGTAGAAAAATACATGTATGTAAATGTATTTATGAAGTACATTTGAAAATGTATGAAAATTGCAAAAATACTTTATCTAATGCACTTTACTGTTTGGAAACCTTTTGAAATGAATTTGTGTCTTTTGAAATAAATTTGTACTCCAGTATCTTTAATTGTAAATGTTGGTAAATGGACCTTTAACAGGACAAAAGCAAGTGTTGTAGATATTGATACACTGTGAAAATGTAGTTTGACGATTTGATATCTTATTTATTTGGCATACATTTTGTGTGAGTGTCTTAATGCAAAGTACAATGCAAAACACAGCAGTCAGTACCGTTCATTCAGTTCATGTATATTTAGTTACATCTTTAACCTTTATTAAAATTACGTACAATTGAAAACTATAATAACAAATACAAATAAATGCATTTTAAATATAGATTTAAGAAATACGTTTTCGGCCATTTTCATATATTGCAAAAATATATTTTATAAATATATTTGAAATATATATATTTTCTCCTCATGGGAAACTAATCTTAATATTGCTATAACTCCCTGATAGACTGATGTTTGTTTCTGTTTAACATTACTCGCACTGTATTTCAGGTATGCTGAACTAGACAACACATTATGTTAAACTTGACAGGCAAAGATAATTAAACATTGTATTTATATTCTGTTTTGTAGGCTTATTGCAAATCATATTTTGTATTTAAATAATAAGAAAGGGCAAACTTAAAATGTGTATGGAAATAATAGGCAAAGCAGTTCAGTTTTATTGTAGAAATTACAACATTAAATGTTTAATTGTGTAATGAACGTTTCATCTTCTAGATGCTTGCAGTCCTTGTCTTATAAATTAAGAGTCCAAGTTTTTTGCATTTTCTACAGAACAAATGCACCTGAAAAAAGCAGAAGCACTTCAAAAAATAAAAATAATATAATGCTGGTTAATTCACTGATGAGTCAAATGAAACGATGGAAAAAGGAAAAATAATCAGGAAAAAAAATCCACCCATCAACGGAACAACCATCACAGGACGAAGTAAATTTAAATTGCCACATCGATAACTATTCTCTGTACAAAACCAAAATAACATGGCTAACATAATTACACAGCGTTTTAGTGAGGCTAGAAAAATTAATGTGTAATATTTACTTCGTAAAAAAGTTATAGCCTGCAGTGCTTGTAGGATGCAACTTGGAATGTAGCCAGTTCCAGTAATTTCTTATCTCCTACAGTCCATGGCAAATGCCTTTAGATAGTGGTGGCTCATGTGACTTCTCATCATAGCTGTGCAGATGACGTAAAATATGCCACAGGAGAAGTGGCTAAAAAACATGTCAGGTGCAGAGTGGTCGCTAGTAAAAGTGGTGATGAAGTGGCCGCGACCACGATGCCTTCTCAATGGAGGCCGATAACAAAAGCGGCCGCGACGTGGCCACTCAGTGGCGGCCGCTAATAAAAGTGGCCACAATATGGCTGCTCAGTGGTGACCGCTAATAAAAGTGGCCGCGATGTGGCCGCCCAGTGGCGGCCGCTAACAAAATAACTGTAATTTCTTATCTAAAGGCATCCTGAAACACTAAGCACCAGAAACCTACAGTCCATGGCAAATGCCTTTAGATAGTGGTGGCTCATGTGACTTCTCATAATAAAAGTAGCCACGATGTGGCTGCCGCTAATAAAAGTGGCCACGATGTGGCAGCCGCTAATAAAAGTGGCCGCTCAGTGACGGTTGCTTAATGGCGGCCACTAATAAAAGTGGCCTGCGATGTGGCTGCCGCTAATAAAGGGGTGGCCGCTCAGTGACGGCTGCTAATAAAAGTGGCCGCGATATGGCCGCTCAGTGACGGCTGCTAATAAAAGTGGCCGCGATATGGCCGCTCAGTGACGGCTGCTAATAAAAGCGGCCGCGACATGGCCACTCAGTGGCGGCTGCTAAAAGTGCCTACAATATGGCTGCTCAGTGGCGACCGCTAATAAAAGTGGCCGCTCAGTGGCGACCGCTAATAAAAGTGGCCGCGATGTGGCCACCCAGTTGTGGCTGCTAACAAAATAACAGTAATTTCTTATCTCCTAATCCCAAAACACTAAGCACCAGAAACCTACAGTCCATGGCAAATGATGTGAAATGCCCCAGGAGAAGTGGCTAAAAAACATGTCAGGTGCAGAGCGGTCGCTTATAAAAGTGGTGATGAAGTGACAGCGATTTGGCTGCTCAGTGGCGACCGCTAATAAAAGTGGCCGCCATGTGGCCACAGAGTGGCTGTTCAATGGCGGCCACAAATGAAAGTGGCCGCGATGTGGCTGCCGCTAATAAAAGTGGCCACAATATGGCCGCTCAGTGACGACCACTGATAAAAGTGGCTGCGATGTGGCCGCGGAGTTGCTGCTCAATGGCGACCACTAATAAAAGTGGCTGAGATGTGGCCGTGGAGTTGCTGCTCAGTGCCGACCGCTAATAAAAGTGGCCGCTCAGTGGCAGGCGCTATGTGCCTGCTCAGTGGCGACCGCTAATAAAAGTGGCCGCGATGTGGCCACTCAGTGGCGGCTGCTAACAAAATAAAAGTAATTTCTTATCTCCTAATCCCGAAACACTAAGCACCAGAAACCTACAGTCCATGGCAAATGCCTTTAGATAGTGGTGGCTCATGTGACTTCTCATTGTAGCTGTGCAGATGATGTGAAGTATGCCCCAGGAGAAGTGACTAAAAACCATGTCAGGTGCAGAGCGGTCGCTAATATAAGTGGCGATGAAGTGGCTGCGATTTGGCTGCTCGATGGCGGCCACTAATAAAAGTGGCCACAATATGGCCGCTCAGTGGCGACCGCTAATAAAAGTGGCTACAATATGGCCACTCAGTGGCGGCCGCTAATAAAAGTGGTCACAATATGGCCGTTCAGTGGCGAACGCTAATAAAAGCAATGTGGCTGCTTAATGGTGGCCGCTAATAAAAGTGGCTGCGATGTGGCTGTCGCTAATAAAAGTGTGGCCGTTTAGTGACGCCTGCTGATAAAATTGGCCACGATATGGCCGCTCAGTGACGGCTGCTTATAAAAGCAGCCGCGATGTGGCCGTGGAGTGGCTGCTTAACAGCGGCCGCTAATAAAAGTGGCTGCGATGTGGCTGCGATGCGGCTGCTCAGTGGCGACCGCTAATAAAAGTGGCCGCGATGTGACCACTCAGTGGCGGCCGTGATGTGGCCGCGATGTGGCTGCTCAGTGGCGACTGCTAATAAAAGTGGCCACAGTGTGGCCGCTCAGTGGCGGCCGCTAATAAAAGTGGCTGCGATGTGGCCGTGGAATGGCTGCTTAATGGTGGTCACTAATAAAAGTGGCCACGATATGGCCGCAGAGACGTATAGCTAGTTAATTAATTGGGATACAAGCAAAGAACTATTTAAGTTATATAACTAATTGTTTACTTAATCACTTACCTGTATTTCTCTTGTATAGGTGCCTGGAATTGAAAATTTGAGGAAATTGTTTATGCAGCAGAAATAATGGGCAAGTATTATGATATGCGTCACACTCAAACGCAATGTCTGTTTTACCCACTTTTATGGCACTATGATATTTTTCTTTTATTTTACAGAAGAACTTTCCAACACTCCGGTTGAAAAATGGACAGAGTCCATGGTGAGCACATGGTTACACTCAATAGGAGTGAAAGAACAGTATGTTAAAAAACTTCATGAAGAAGAAGTCGATGGCCGAATCCTCCTTGAAATCACAGAGGACTTTCTGAAAAAAGAGACTGGAATGAAATCCGGCTATGCACATTTGATCATTACCAAAAGAAATGAGTTAGTTAATCCTTCCCACAAAGTTCAGAGACAAACTGATAATACACATGAAAGGACTGTCCAGAAACATGACGATCAAAACAATGACCAAAAACCAGCATCTGTCAAGCGTGGTTCAACAACCAGCAGTGCCCAGAAGGGAGAACTCAAACAGGGCTCTGTGACTGTCCTGACAACAAAGAGTGATGCAAAGCCTCGACCTTTTGGCAAAAGGGGTGTTGACTACACATATGTGAAGCACAATGTTCTTCAGCCTGAATCAGGTGTCATTGATCTTATAACCCCCTGTCATGAGTACAAGGCATTTACAATTGCTGCAACATTGGACTGCCAAAGAGTTCAAGCAAAGCTGGCAAAGGAAATTTTCAAATTTGCCACGGGATGCATGAACATGCGATCAAATGGCACAATACACTTTGGTGTAATGGATGGAAAAGATAACTCTGGCTGTGTACATGGTGAAATCATTGGTTTTCCCATTCAGAATAAGGACACGTATGCTGATGCGTTGAATCTCATTGACAGGTGTTTCTCCACTGCCAATGTTGAACTTGTGCAGCAGTGCATTCGACCACCTGAGTTCATCCTGGTGATTGACCCAAACAGTACTGAAGAACACTATGTTGTTGAAGTTGACATTGTACCTTTAATAAGCATAGTGAGGAATAGGGTGTTTCCAGTCCTTTTGCCAAACTTCAGAGAGAAGAAAAACAAAATTGAATTTGAAAAGGAAACAATCTATCGCAGACTAGGTTCCAGAACAGAGCCAGTCACTGACACAAGTGAATTTTACCATGGAGTTCAGAGCAGGGATGCCCAAAGAGAGGAAAAAGAGCAGGCACATTCTTTCACAAGTCCAGACCTCTGCCAAGATCTTGGAAGAAAACTCATCATGCTTGTAACAGGTGGTAAGAAAATCATGGAAAAAGATAAATGGTACATCCTTGTTACAAACAAGTTTTCAAAGGAAGATCTCACCAACATTGATTTTTTGCTGAACATGAAACTTTTCTGTGTGTTTGACTTTGACCCAGATTCCAAAGGGTCTGGTTTATGTCATGAATATGGTAAGCACCATGCTGTGAACCTCCACTTCATGCAGAACTACAAAATTCCAAGTGACACGAGCATCAGAGAATTGGAGAGTCACCTCCACTTGTTTGAACAAACAAGTTGGATTTTTTGTAATGGACGAAGTGACTTCAAAGGCAACGAGCATCCATGTGATGAAAAGACTTGGTCTAAAACAAGGAGGACCTTCTTAAAAGATTGTGTCTCATTGATCTGCAAAGACATCCTGCCAAAGGGAACCTTTCTTGTGATCTTCCTCCTCACCTCTCCTGTTGAGACTCCTCTCCTGAACACATTCTACGAGTTCTTCACTGACATGGAAGGTCATGAAGACATTATCTGCATTTCTGAATCAGAGGAGAACTTTCGAAAATGGCGGACCTTTGCTCTTGGATCATGTGACATAGAAACTGTGACCAGGTCAAGTGTTGTTGGGATGAAAATGAGCCACGTCAATGCAACTCTCCAACCAGTCCAGACCACCACTACTCGTGCAATTAAACACTTACCTGTGTATATCAAAGGGGAATGCTGTCTTGAGACACGTGAGGAGGAAAAAATGTGTTCTTTAGAGATTTTAGGCACCAACCAATGTGAGGACACCAAACCTGAGTTGGTTGATTTGGAGGAAAGGAAAAACATAGAGAGAGAGTTTTACCTTGGAGGTAAAGTGACATGGATGAACTTCTGGCTTGCAGAGAAAAGGTTTGTTGAGGAAGTTATTCAAAGAGATGCCTACTGTGATGTGACCAACCTCCTGAAGGACTCTCTTAAGTGGAGTTTGGATCAGATGCCTATCAATTGTATCAACATATACCATCATCCTGGCAGTGGTGGTAGCACAGTAGCAAGACAGGTGCTTTGGAACTACAGAAAGGAGCTGCGGTGTGCAGTTGTGAAGCCATCATTCTCTGTTGGTGTTGTTTCAGAACATGCTGTCAAGCTAAGGGAGTATGAGGAAAAAGATCCACAGAAGTGTTGCCCTGTTCTCCTACTTGTTGAGGATTGTGACAAAGAGTACCTAGAAGACTTGAAGAAGGAATTAGAAGTGGCCGTCTACACTAAGAAAATTGCACATGGAACGCCGTGTTTCATTCTTCTTAGCTGTATGCGATCCTACACTCCAGAGAAAATGTGTAAGGAGTCATCTCTGCAGAATGTCTCTGTTACTCACAAACTTTCTCCAGAAGAGAAAAGACACTTTGCAAGAAAACGGCAAAAGCTTGAGCAGCAGTACCAGCCAGAGTTTATCCTGACGTTTGTCTTGATGAGTGAGGAATTTGAACATCAGATCATTGCTGAATATGTCAAGCAGTTTGTGAGACATTTACTACAAGACATTGACCATGTATCTGTTGTCACTCAGCTCATTCGCTATGTAGCTCTGCTTAACACCTACGTCCAGAACTCTTTCATCTCTCAATCACATTGCGAAGCCCTGCTGCCTCTTGCTTTAACTGTCCCCATGGATAGATTTCGACAACACGCATTTGAGGCTTCTTTGAGTGAGCAGGCCAAATTGGTGTTCATACATTTGAGAGATGAAAGGACCCACATTAAATCTGTCAGAATCATTCACCCATTAGTTGCAAAGGAAATCCTCCATCAGCTTTTGGGTGGCAAAAAACAACAAAGTGGCCTCGCACTTGATCTTCTCAGCAACGATGTACTCTTTGAACACAGATTTGGGAGAGAAGATTACGTGAAGTTCCTTCGTGCACTGTTCATGACACGCTCTAGGATCAGCAAAGGTGATGAGTCAGACAGCTTTTTCTCTCCTCTCATTGAGCATGTGAGAGAAGATGAAACACCAGAAAAAGCTATCAAGCTTCTCGAAGAGGCATACAAAAGATTTGGCAAGGATGCATTTTTTGCTCAGCAACTGGCTCGTCTCAATTACAGTCATGAAAGATTTGAAGAAGCAGAACACTGGGCAGACATTGCAGCCAAAAAACAGCCTAACAACTCCTACATTCTTGACACCAAAGGTCAGGTGTACAGAAAATGGTTCACAAAGAAATGCAAAGCCATGGAAAAGACTGAGAAAACCCCAGAGAACACAGTAGATGCCATTGAGACAGCTCTTAAAGCCATTGAATGCTTCCAAGAATGCGAGAAGGCAGCGGTGGCAGACGTCGAGTCAATGAACAACTCAGGTTTTTTTGCAAATGTAGATGTGTGCTACAGCTTGTTAAAGCTAATTTCTTCACTTCACATTTTCTCAAACAAAACAAATGGCCGTTCCGAATGCCTGAAGTACTTGCTCACAGAACACGTTCCCAAAGAAGTCAAAAAACCATGGGAGCATTTTCACTTCAATCTTAAAAAGCTTCATGCCACAATGCGTAATGCCTTGGAATGGATATCAGAAGAACTGAATTATTTTCAGACGGACCTGTATACAGATGATGAGACCTCTGAGAGCTGTGAGCTGACAATAAGTCACCCTAAGCGTTGGTTGGTAACCAAGTCCGCTCTTTATGGCAAGTTCTTCAGTGATGCTTCATTTAGCAGTGTATCTGGTCCCTGGCAGTCTAATCCAGCTCGTCTGACTCCGTTCACTAAACGCATGATAATCTGCCAACTTGGTGGAGGAAACATCACATCAGTCTTTTCCATCCTAGACAAGAAAGACAAGGATGCAGTCAAAATTTTGGAAGACATCATTTCACTGTATCCGGAAAACCCTGTGCATGCTAAAATGGATCAAGTGGATCTTGTTAACTACATTGCATCGCATATTGCTTTAAGTGCAGTCTCAACCCAGTCACCTAGTCTGGCTGCACTCAGTGATTTGCAAAGGCTGAGCCGTCAGTTTCCTCAAGACCAGTCAAAATGCCTGTCAAGTGCTCTGTTTTTACGCATCTTATTATTCTGGCCAGAAGAGCACGACACTGATGAGGAAAAGGAGCACAAATACGAAACTGTCCTCACTGCTATTGAATTCCTCCAAAGATCATACTGGAGCAAAATGAAGGATATCCCTCACAAAAGGAGACGGATTTACACTCACTTCTTCCTGGGAAATGGAGTTGGGTATGGGAAGTTTGTCCATAAGAGCAAAATTGAAAACCTCTCAAAATTGACCTCCATTTCAGAAAAGCGTCTGAAATGGTTCAGAGGGGAATTGTGGAAAACGGCAGAAATTGCTGATGTGCTGAAACGTGTGACGGGCTGGACAGAGAATGGAACTGTGTACCTTGAGGGTCCGAAAAAGAAAAAGTTCCCTGTTCATGCTTTGTATGTACACTCAGTGCCCTACGACAATGAGAACGTCACCTTTTATCTGGGCTTTACGTTCAGAGGGCCTGTTGCGTACAACATCAAGCCAACAGGAGGCTAAATGTACACAGTCGAGACACATTGTTATGACCACTTCCTACTTTCAACGGTGGCAGCGTGTAGCTCATGAAGGACGTCACGTCTTGGGCTGGCTTAGTGGGTATATAAAGTGTGGAAGGCACTCTCAACTAATTTGGGTATGAATCCACCCTTTCAGATCACGTACTCCCATACATGCTGATTGTCTTACCTGGGGCGGATGGGATCTTCGAGCAGGACAATGCGACACGTCACACGGCTAGAAATGTCCGAAATTGGCTGGAAGAGCATGACCAAGACTTCCAAGTACTACCCTGGCCCCCAGACTTGAACCCAATTGAGCATCTAGGGGACCAAATCGATCGTCCTGTTCGCCCTATGGATCCTTCCCTGTGCAGTCAGCTTGGCTCCAGATACCTGCGACAACCTACCAGGACCTCACTGAGTCACTCCCAGCCCGTCTAGCTGCTGTCCGCGCTGCACACGGCTGTTACTCTGGATATTAGGTGGTGGTCATAATAATGTGACTCGACTGTGTAGCATCCATTTTCAGCAAATTATGGCAAACTGACTTGATTACATTGCCTGATGTGATGTTTGTGCTGCTGTTATGATGTACATGTTAACAGTAGATTCCTACTTGCAGCCCACAGCTTTGCTAAAGCTAAAAAGGCTGTACATGTATGTGAATTTAATGCCCTGTAGTGTGAGGTTTTTCTTTTGCACAGACGTGTTGAAGTTTTGAAACAGTGGCCTGTCTGTTATAGTAAGTAATTTGCTGTACGACATGCTTATGGTACTATGTGATCACACACAGTCCTTTACATGATGTAAATATGAGAGCTTTTTGGTGTAAACACGCCAGTACCAGCCCTGCTAAATCCTTCTTTGCAGACATTTTGTAGTTCCAAATTCTGATGTAACCACTGCTGTAGCTGAGGTAACACTGGTTCTTTATACTGTTGAAAAGACTGGGAAGGGCACAACCAATGTTTTAACTCAGATTACCTCTGAACAGAGCGAGGGTAAACATATGATGTCACAAAATTGAGCGTCTCATTTGCGAAGGAGAATAGCACCTAGTTACCTTTACTCAATTGCATGTACTTAAGTAAAATTTTGAAAGAGTTGTACTATCATGGGTATTTTTAAAATCATAAAACTTCTACTTTTACTCAAGTATATTTGTGAAGAACGATCTAATTTTCATTGTGTTATGTTCCTCATGTTTCACTATGTTATGTTGATGACAGCACTTGTGCTGTGTTGCCACTGCTAATACTTCTCATTTTTGGGGTTTATCATTTTATTTTAGACCAAAAGACTCCAAAAAAGAGAAGAATAACCCCCTAACAAACTTCAGTGTACTTCCTGTACTGATAGAGGCTGGATGTAGTAAGATGTTTCATTGCAGTACTGTACATTCCTCAATACTTTAGTTTTTGACCTGATATTTTTGTTCTTCCATACTTCTATATTTTATTATGAATATAATATTACTTTTATTATGCTACTCTACCCACTGCACTTATTTCTAATAGTGTATTGCATTTCATTTCTTGACGCTTCACCCATTTCCATCACAGTGTTTACCATTCACGAGTATCAGTCTTCCATAAGGATTTCACATCTATGTATCTGTTTGGCTGGTTGAAGAACCATCTTTAGTTTTGGTCCACATCATTCATTGCTTCCTGGAGTTTATTTTGTGTTTAGTTTTTGTCTTACTGTTTGTTAAATTGGGCAGACTTTTTCTTATTGCAAGCTTTTATGTTCATACATTTGTTTCCTGTCTCATTTTTCTACATTTATATTTTACTGTAATTTTCATTGTATAACTGCCTGCAATGCCACCTGTGCTGTAATAAACATAGAATATAGAATTCTAAATTCAGCACCTCTTCATTGTCTCATTAAAAGAACTTAACAGGAATAACTTTACAGCAACTCAAACGGACCTGCCACAAGGCTGAATGGGTTTGGTGGGAAACTAAATTAAACATACACTGTGAATTACAAAATGTTGTATTGCCACTTATAATAATACAATGTGAAAGCAGAGGCAATTACACTTTTCTTAGAAAATAAAGGAAATAGTAACAACCCAAAACGTTTATTTTTAACTGTTGACTGCCTTTTAAATCTCACTACAGTGAATTACTGGTTAGGTGAAGCATCTACATCAAAATATGAAGCTTTTGCACTATTTTTAATGACAAAATCACCAATATTTGATCATGTCTAAGGAACTCAAGACCTGAACTTATATTGTTTCAACTACAATCTGATGCATGATTTTGGAAAGATATCTGACACAGAGCTCCGTTAATTTTGGCTCCAATTCCAACTTTATTTTTTTAACAAATTTTAGATAGCCCTATTTTTAGTGTTTCAGACATTACAAACTTTTCTTCAGAAACAGGCATTTTTCCAGATGCACTCAAGGTTGCTGTGATCAGGCATCGACTAACATAGATTCATCAGTTTTAAGTCATTTTAGTAGTTTTTGCACAAATAAGTGAGTTCCTAAATGAAAGGGATGCTTCTAAAAAATTCCAGTCAGGTTTTCGATGAGGTCATAATACTGAAGTATACTTGATAAAGATAGTTAACAATCTTAGAGTCAATGCTGATGAAAATAGGGTTTCTGTTGTACTTTTAGATTTAAGTGCAGTTTTTGATAGAGTAGACAAAATTACATTTGTATTGTGAAAGCATTGCAACAACTATATATAATAAAAGCCAAAGAAAAGATGAATGATTCTCATACACATATCTGGCTGTAGTGGACACCACAGATGCAGGAAGAGGTGGGGGAGGGGGGCCTGAGGGGGCTGCAGCCGCCCAGATTTCAGCACTGCAACTGTTAAAAAAATATTCTAAAATACATTTTAGTGTTTGGAGTGTATTTCGTCATGAATTGCAATGTATTTGGCCTGTCTTTCAGACTAAAAATGCATGTCCATATTTTTTCCCCATATGATCCCGGAGTGAATGACACATATGCATACACATATCTGGCTGCATATATGGCTAGATATTCCTCAAGTTAACCTGCACAGACATTAATATAAAATACAAAGGAAGACTTTACATGGGGAGCTTTACTGAGCTTAGCGATCAAACGAAGGTATGACTGAGTTTAAAGGGTAAAGTTAAACCTTTCACTGAGAAACTCACACTCAGAGGACGTAGATCATACACACCATATCTATGATACCCACACTCAGTCAACTCTGCTGTGCACATTACTGATCATGTGAGACTTTACACAATTTTTTTTTACCCCTCCTTAGCTAACTCTGTGCTCTTTTTTCAGACAGTTATAGCCAGGGGTGGCACCACACTCCCAAAAGTGGTGGGGCAAAACATATTGTTAAAAAAAGCGGCTGGCTGAGTGATGAATTGCAATTTCATGTCTTGCTAATGACACGTCTTTATAAACCTATTCAGAGGTGGGTAGTAACTAGTTTCATTTACTCAAGTACATGTACTTAACTAAAATATTGCTAGATTTTTACTGTCCAGAGTATTTTTTTAGTATTTAGTACTTTATTTTTGTAGTATTTTTGAGTCCCTTTACTTCTGCTAAAGTATATTAGTGAGTAAAGTAATATTTTATTTTAGTTTTACATTCCTGTTTGTGTTTAATTTCAATATATTTTATGGTGGCAATATTTGTACTGCTTTGTGATTGGTTACATCTCTGAATCTTTGTATTTTTAACCAAAAGAATCCCAAAAAGAGAACAACAGAATCTAACAATCTTCAGTTCCTATGCTGATAAATGCTGGATGTAGTAAGAAGTTCCACTGCAGAACTCAGTTCTTAAAATAGATTTTCAACCTGCTCCTTTTGTATTTCTACTAAAGTTGTTTTGGGGAATGTTCTTTAACTTGTGTAATGAGGTATCAATACTTTTAATTGAGTATTGATTTAGGCAACTCTACCCACCTCAGAACCTGATCATGAACAGTGTCAGTGTTTGTTTTGATGCTGCTTCAGTAGCTGCAGCCTCAGGTAGCAGTATTTATTAGCTAACATCTCCGAAGAACATCAGGCTGTTTTTATACCCAGTTCATTTTCTGTAGACCGCTCTACAGTTTTTGTTTTCTGTGATATTGTATCTCTTTCCTTTGGCTCGGATGGTGGAATGCAAAGGCTAAAGTGGACTAAATTACACTCGTGGGTGTTTGTTCATTGATCAGAAGTTTTGCAGGGATGCAAGCGCGCTGTTACTCTCACATTCACCACCAAGGAAACAGAGAAACAGAAAATAAAGACGCTTATCATCTGTGTGAATACCAATTTAAATTTAACCGATCAGGTCGCTGATGCTTGGCCAAAATAATAGGCTCCACGATCGATAATCAAACGCATATTATTATTATTATTTTATTGCTTGTTTTTCGTTATTTACAGCAGCTGGCAATGCAGGAACGATATAGTCGTCTGTAGGTGTGATGGTCAGGTGTCCACATACTTTTGGCCATATAGTGTATGTCACCTATCTGTTTCTCCAAACTCTTCCCTCGTTATAGCAACAGGCCTATGAGATCATGCATGATAACAGCTACAAAGTACAAAGCATTATGTTTGCCTGTACAGAGCGTTCTAGCAGCTGCAGTCCAACACTAGATTTTATTTTTAGTATTTCAATGATGTATTACTAATAGTGTGAGTCGATAACCCAGATTTCTTGGTGTATTTATCACCTCCACTCTCTGGTGCCTGACTCCTTTAAATTAGCCAATTGCGTAGAGGGCTTCATGAATGAACCCACGTGACCAAACATCATATGACGTGCGGCGTCGCTACAAGGGAATCAACAAGGGGGGAACGAGGAGCGCGAAGAAAACCCCCCGTATGCAGATGTACGCGCTCGGGATCACAGAGGACACGGCGCCGCTCGTTCACCCACGCACGCGCACACACTGAGAGCTATAAAGCGGGGCATCGTCTCTCCCTCCGGTGAGTTGAAATGAAGTTGCGTGGCGAAATGTGTCTCCGTTATGCTGAGTGTGCACGCGCACGCCGCCGCCGCCTCCTCCCATTCACTCCCGGTACGCGCTGTGCTGTGAGCTCATAGCGTTACAGCCGCCTGAGCTCCCGCTTTAAAGAACGCCGTGCTGATTCATCGCTGCTTTACACTGCGAGTCTCAGCGCGCGCGAGGCTGTCGCCGTTGAAACCGTTGAAGCCGAGACACGGCGAAGGAGGTTTAGGAGGGGATTCCCTTCGCTCAACACGGGTGGGAGGCGGCGAGACGCGGAGTGACAGCTAGAGGGGCTTTTTTTTTATCGTCGAGAAACGTGCGACTCGGGCTAGGTGAGCAGTGTGTTTAGCTCATGCCCTCAGCTTGCTCGCACGGCTGTTTCTGCTGCTGCTGTTTCCTCATCGAGCGCGAGCCGAAGCTCATCATTCAGACACACACGGCGCCATCAGGTAGGACTGGCCGCGTTTGTTACTGACAACGGAAACTAACGTTAGCTTCTGTCCACGAGGATGAAGTTGGCTTCTTATTCGTCTGGTTCTGGCTTTATCCGTTCCGTTCCACCTTAAACGGTGCAGCTGTTCCGTTCTGGCGCCTGTACACCGTTTAAGGACGGCAAACCACCAGAACGTTAGTGCTGCACCGTTAAAGGTGGAACGGAGAATTCGGAGAAGAAGCTGGCGGATAAAAGCTAACTTCAGCTTCTTCTTCTGTCCTGAGCTCCTGTGTAATGAATTCGGTGGGGCGACATAAAAATAAAGCCAGGCTTGTTGGTTCTGCCGATACAGTCACGGCTCTCCGAAGGCTGCGTTCAAGCTGAAGGTTAATTAACCGTCGGCGCCGCCGTTTTGCCGACGAGCTTTACGTTGTGGAAGCGCGTTCACGTCGCATTGTTTACGGAGGGCTGCCGGCATCGCGGACGCGCTTTTGTTCCCCCGTGCTGATTCATCATAAGCGAATCGCGCGGCCAGGCGAGCGGACAAAGGTCTGTGCAGAGAGAAGCGGTCGATATCGGGCAGCTGCATCTCTCCTTCGACTCATGAGGGGTGCTGGACACGAGCTTATTGGGGTGTATCAGGTTTATGAACCCTGGTGCTTTGTTTATTTCTGATTTTATCTTATTTGAGGCAAGAACTGGGGCTTCTGTGGTGGGCTGCTGCCATCCCTTATAAACAACTGAGAGAAAGAGACCTGTTAGAGTGCACTTTTCCTGAACGATAACTGAACTCGTCCTCAGTAAATGGCTCAGTTGCTGTAACTGTATCATTTCCACCCTCATCTCCTGTGTCTATGTTTACTCCTAATAATATGATAATCATTAAACATTCAGGAGCAGTGGCTCCTCAAGCTTGCAATAGCCTGTCTCTGGTGACCACAGACTCTGAGTGGCCACAGTAGCACTCCCAATTAAGATGATTGCACTCTCTATTTCGAGCCTGCGGTTAAACTTTGAATGTAAAAGCTTTTTAGAACCGGACACATCAGGCTTTAGTCGAAGCCCTTTGGTTTCTGACAGGAAGAAGAGGACTGTAATCTGTGCCACACCTTTGCGTGGTGGTCATAATAGGGCCAGTCTGTGCTGCTTTGTGCACTGCCCTGTCTGACCTGTTAACAGATATCAAAAATCCTCACTCAGAGTGGGCACCAAATGGTGAAACGAGGATGCCACATATGGCCCATTCCCCTCCCCTCATGGGTGCGCTTCAGGCGCGCTCTGCCCCGCGATGCGTTTATAAGGACGCCCTTTTGTGTCAGGAGACCCAGCCCTGCGTTCTGTAATTTCTCTTTCTCCTGCCACAGCAGGTAACAAGAACAGATGAGGGCCTTCACTGTGCAGCAGGGGGTGTGGGTAGAAATGGAGGGGGGTGTATTTGTGTGTTGGTGGGGGTGGGGGTTGTGATGTGGACCTCTAGGGGGAATAGGTAGTGGGCATTGGCTGAGAGATTTATGGTCCAGCACATACAACTGGCTACCATAAGACCAATCACAGTCCGCAGCAGTATGTATAAGCGCTGCTCCAACTCCCGGGTGATGCCGAAGCTGGAGCTCATTGGCTAAGGTGCGCTCAGGCAGAGAGGGGGTGGGGGGGAGAAGTTGATGAAACCAGGAGAAAGAGTTTAGCACACAGAGGAAATGTCTTGCACGGCTCATGCAGCGCATTCATAAGTTACTAATGCCATTCCTACATCATCAACAGTCCTTGAGAAAGTGAGAGTTTGGGGGATGGGGGGTGGGGGCATGTCCTCAAAAGTACAGCTAAATCTGCATAGAGAATTGGGAGAGCCTAGAGCGAATGCCATGAAGAGTAGGGGAGGGGGGAGAAGATCAAGAGGAGTTTTGGCGGGGGGGGTGTTGGGAGGGGATGCTGATGATGAAACTCACTGCAAGTGTGGGCTTCGCACTTTCTTTCGCCTGCTGTTGCTATGTTGCACTTTCAAAGCTGCGCTCTGCGGAGGGATGTGTGTTTTAGGTGCAGATGTTGTTGGCTTTGCAGTGATGGAACACAAACGAAGCTTCAGCATCCATTTTCCGCAGTGGTTTGTCAGATATGGTTTCATGACGCTCCATGACAGTTGCAATCATCTGATGAAACCAAAAGTTTTAAACAGTTTCATCAGGATTTCGGAGAACCGCAGTTCCCTTGTGGGAACTGTGCTTGGTGTTACTAATTAGTTATACACAATGCATAGTTATTAATTAGTAATGAGTTACTTAGGAAGTGTTCATCAGTTTTTCAAAGCATCTTAATTCTAGTGTATGTAATTATAGTTCTTTGCTGGGTTTTGTCAGTGCTGTTTGCCTTCTAATGGGAGTGAGCGGGGCCATTAAGATTTAGGCTGTAACACGGCCTAATACCCTTCCATTATGTTGACAGCCTGGGGCTCACAATGCTTAGGTCCAGGACTATTCTTACAGCCTGATTAGTAACAGGTAGAGATGATACAATAACATATTTTCAGTTCTGATACTGATATTGAAACCTTGAGTATTGGCCGATACCAATCCGCTATTTTCTATTTAAAAAGTACGCTTTTTAATTGAAGCCCTTCAGTTTGGAAGAACATTGAACAATGATCATCTGACAATACTTCAAGACATTTTCACGAAACAGTCGATATGTATCACAGTATGTTGACACAAAGACAGGAGGCACTAGTAGAGCCACATTTAAAAACTGACATACAAAATGTTTCACATCCTGCACTGCGATAGATCCAGTTAAATTATGCTCTCTTTGTAAAGAGTCAGTGCTCTTTAAGTACTGATGATACACACAAAAAGCTCAGAAAAGCAAATTGTTTATCATGTATTATACAACTCTGTGTCCAGAAAAGTTGGGCACTGTATAAAATATAAATAAAACAGAATCTAATGATGTGCAATTTATTGAAATCCTATATTTAATTAAAAATAGTACAACATACTAAATGTTGGACATGAGAAATTTTGTATTTTTTTAAACAATATGTCCCATTTTGAAAACCAAAAAAAATTTGAAAAGTTGCGACAGGGGCATGTTTACCACTGTGTTGCATCACCTCTTCTTTTAACAACACTGTTTGCAGCACTTAATTTTACTTACATTTTCACAGCATTTTGTGTGTGTGTATGTGTGTGTGTGTGTGTGTGTGTGTGTGTATATATATATATATATATATATATATATATATATATATATATATATATATATATATATATATATATAATGTACACACACATAGAGAGAAAGAGAGAGAGAGAGAGAGCTTATTATTTTTTCCCTCTCGATAGCCCCATATCGATAGCTGGCATCAGATTAGTGCAATCTGTCACAGGGCAGGCAAACATGTACAGCTTTTTATCAAAACTGATGGAGAAGCATTACAGAAAACATTTATGTTCTGAAATCAGTTCAAGGTCACAAATGATGGAGTGGACTTCTTATTTCTTTTTATCCAACCCATCTGAAAAACAGTAGGTGCCGTTTACATTATGCAAATATTTCATGAGCTATCGACCAATAGAAATGGTTCAAAAGTACTTGGAAAATGTAGTGTTACATAAACATACATCAGAGTTATTCCTCTGGGTATTGCACTGATTTTTCCAAATCTGGATAGTTAAATGGTTAAACAGATGTATTCAGAATGGTTTGAGGTGAAATGCTTTGTTATAGAGAAACTGAGTCAGAATTGTTCACAGCAGTGGTGATGAGAACCAGACGTCTGAAGAATTGAATGCCTCTAAAAGCTCCCTTACAGGAAGTTATCACATGAAATGGTTATGACTCTCTTCCTGATGTCTGAGACATGATTTTACAATATTTTTTCAACAATGTTTTTGACCTAAAATGTATTATTCAAAATACATTCTGGGCAGAGAGGTTCATGTAGAGAAACTTATTGTTTATTGACTTATTTACGTTGCAGAGATCGCAAACTCTGGTTCCTATCACCGCCTGTGTAAAGAAATCCAATTCAGTTAGTTTCTCAGTTAACCATTTTACATCAAACCACTTTGAATGACTTACAACTCCACCACTGAGTTATACAGAAATTTCCCCTAAAGAACATTGTTTATGAGTTTTTTATGACAGTGACAATATGTAAAATAACATTTGCTATTTGCCTTACTGACTGTCTTTTGTCAAAAACATGTTATGTAAACAGAATGAACAAACAGACACTTTTGTGAATGTAATATCACCTGTGAACCATTTGGGTGTCTTCCTGTTCTTTACTGCTTTATGATTCACTTGTCAGCTGTTATGTTGTTTTATTTAGGGTGGAAACTTTGGCATTCTTTAGTGGTGTACGCTACGCATGATCATCTTTAGCACGCTGGATAGTAGCGTTTAAATCAAAAGCTCAGCTGAATGTAGTGATGTGAGGTGTGGGGCCCGTTTATTATGCTAAAACAAATGTACTTTTCCTCTCAAAGTGGATCTGTGGTACATGCAGTCTATTTTGCCAGTGTGTGGGATGCAAGCCTAGCTTCCTTTGCCAGGTCCGTTCCCTCTCAATCCCATCCTCCGGGCAGAATGTTTTGAAAGGCGCGAGAGCCTCATATCCCACTGCACTCCTGATTCCACAGGCAATCGTAATGCACCGGGCTCGACCAGTTAGTTCAGCAAAGGCCTTGGTGTTATTATTATTTCCAATAGGCCTCCTGCAAACTCGAGTTCCGATTTTAACCGTGTTTCAAACGTCGGCGAACTTTCATAGAAGATATTTCCCCTAATTTCAGTCATGCACATCGAAAGTTCAACCTTTCATTCTAGCTCCACTTGAAATGTGGCTCTCTCATGTGGAGGGCTGCAGCTGCACAAAATCGATACAGCATAAAAAAGAAAATCTGATCTTTTTATAACAACATTTGGAGCGGGACCCAAAGGTCAATATTGAATCTACCTTGTGTTCAGATTTTCACTGAGAGAAGAAATCCAATCTCTTCTCTGCAGTTTTGCTCCCTC